TTCATTTTGTATTGTTTGTCATGTATTAAAAAAATTAAAAAGTAAAAAAGTTACTATCCTATTTAAGTCATATCATCTTATTTAAGTCACATCACCTCTCTACCACATCAATTCAAACCCAACCCAAACTCAATCCATATTTAAAAAGTCAAAAAGTGCACTTATTTAAAACATTTCAAACCTGTTTCATCAATAATACAAAACTGTTTCATCAATACAATTTTATTTATTTATTTATTTTGTAAAGTCTCCAAATGATGTGGTAAAAAAAAAAAAAAGATAAATTAATAATTCATACTCTCACATTCTTCTCTTCTTTTAAAATTTTTTAGCCAATCTTATCATGTCATTCAAAAGATTTTTAGAGAAGAAATTGTGTAAATGTAATATTGTTATTAATAATATAAATATGTTTATGAAATAAATAAGGAAAAGAAAAACTAGACAAAATGTAATTAACTTTTATAATTTTTGCATCTATCTTTTTTTCCCTTATATGACATTTCAGAAAGTGAATAAGATTTGAATGAATAATTAAAATAAATAACAATGCTAAAGTATAAAATATGAATAGACAAAACAATTGATAGTGTTGAAAATGTTTGAATCGCTGTCTATCAAGCCTTCATTTGGAATGGCTAATTAATGTGATCTTTTGATTAATTTAACTTGGTAAAATTAGTTTTATTTGAAAAGAACTTTTGGTTTTTTTTTGAATCTGATGTGATAATTATAAGAGAGAGAAAATGTGTAATAATTATAGTTTGAATGTGACATTTTTTCTTATTGACTAAATTAGGCTTGGTTTGGGAAGCAGGTTGGCTTTTTGGCTTTTTAATTTTTTAAACTATTTTAGTTTAGGGCTAAAAAACTTAGTTTGGGAATGACTTTTGGCTTTTTAACTTTTTTGTGAGATAATGAATGTAAGTATTAATGGTTTGATGTGATGTGTTGTCATGTTGGGTTAAAAAGCCTTTTTTTTTTTGTGGCTATTTTAGCTCAAAAAAAACCTCCAAACCCACTTCCCAAACATTAAGGGTTTGTTTTGTTTGTTTTTGGGGGAGTTGTTTTTGAAAAAAATTTTGGGGAGAGAGTTTAGAAATTTTTTTGGTTTGTTTGGTTGTATATTTTGGGAGAGTTGTTTTTTTGAGAGTTTGGGATGATTTGATATTTTGGGAGAATTTGAGTAGATGTGTGCGAGAGAAAAAAGTGATTGAGAAAGATAGAGGAGAGAGAAAAAGTGATTGATTGATGTGTAAGAGAGCGAAAGTGATTTTGGAAATTTTTTGAGAAAAACTCAAACCAAGCAATTTTTTTAGAAATTTTTTTCTTAAAACTCATCTCCCAAATATAAACCAAACATCTCTTCCCAAACAAGTCTTAAGTATCTAATCCTTAATCTCATAAGTAGAAAATTCTCAAATGGAACATAAAATTCCAAATATGCATATTTGACAAGCTTGATAATATTCTTTTTTTCGATTCAACAAGCTAGATAATACTGGTCACTTCTTCAATAGCATTAATTATTTTACATAATGTATTATGTTGTGATTGATCAAAAGATTATAGGACAAATTATACTAGTAGTCATTGTATTTTACTTTTTATGTCATTTTAGTTTATACATTTTCAATTAGTTCAATTTTGACCTTTAATTTTAAATTTTGTGGTAATTTGATTCAATTAATAATGTCATTAGTATTTTGATGAACAATGATCACTGAATTAGTTGAGATTAACTCACTGAGTTAAGTAAGGGGTTGTTTGGAGTGTCTTAAACAAGTGCATTTTTTGTCTTTTTGGAATAAAAAGTTGAGAAAAAAATATGAATGTTCGGATTAGTTTTTTGACTTTTTATAAGAAAATGTGTATTAAAAAAATGTATAAATAAGTGTGTAGGAGAAGATAGTGTAGTAGGCCGTATGGATTGGCAGTGCAGTCGGTTTGGTGAATACATGGAAAAGATTACCTCCTTTTTGGGCTTTGAATGGACAGTGTTGTTCGGCCCGTGGGGGCCCACCACGGGTCCCATTTTTGTAATCAGAACCGTTCAATATGTAGAACTCATCGAGTACTATATGTTTGTAAAAAATCACGTTGATTGGATATCGATAGCTATATAATCGTGTTAGTTTTTTTGTCAACTGTTAACTATAATACCATCCAATTTTTATAAAAAACTGATTTGATTATGTAGTTAACGATATTCGATAGACGTGATTTTTAATTAGTATATAGTACTAGACGAGTTCTACATATTGAACGGTTTAGATTACCAAAACGGGACCCATGGTGGGCCCCCACGGGCCCAACTTTACTATCCAACTTAGTGAATGTACACAAGTGAATTTTTTTTTCTTTCACTGCAGTTGGCTTGACGTCAGTATGTTGATGGGCTAAAAAGTTGATTTGTATTTTAATATTTGTATATTTTGTTTTTTGTGAATAGTGATAACTTTTTAACTTTTTTGATAACTTTTTGACTTTTATTTTTTTTTTAAACTTGCCAAACCTGCCCTAAGTTGATCATTTTGCCCTTAAAAATATGATACATGCCACTTATATATATATTTTTCATAAAAAATGCTAAGAGTTATTATCAATTAAACCAAATTGAGACAAAGTCATAAATTTAGAATTAAAATCAAGCTAATTAGAATTATAGGGATCACAATGACAAAATAGTTAAAATACAGAGACTACCATTATAATTTGGCAAAAATTATATGCAAAACATATAATTTTAGAAGAAAGTATGATAGTCTAAATTGAACATAAAAAGGCTCCCTAGAGATTTCAAAACTTATTTTTTGAATTATTTTTAGAAGAATTAGAAAAAATGATATTTTAAAGTTATAAAAATTTTTTTTTGTCCCAAAAGGAAAAAATATATGAAAATAACGAGTAAATTTAATTTTTAATTTTTTTGACCAAATTAATTTTTGATTTTTTTTTTGGGGGAAAAAAATAGAGTGCGAAAACTCAATCAAATAAATGAGATCATTAATATATATGTCTTGATCATTAATGTAATTCATTAAATACCCACCAACAGTACTTTCTTAAACCAAAATTTGAAAAATTAAATTCAATTATAATATTGCCCTCCAAATTACAACAAAATCTTGATTTGGATTCTCTATTTTATGATCATCAAATATGTTTGGTTTTGGCTTTTTGGCTAAAAAAAGTACAAAAAAAAACAAAATTGACTACATAAGCCAATAAAATAAAATGTCACATGCAAATCATAATCATTACATTTTTTCTCTCACAAAATTTAAAAAAGTTAAAAAATAAAGGGGGATGCACCAATAAATCCCAAATTAAATAACTTATACACTGTTTAGTCCTAAAAGTTTTCTTATAAACTGAAAGGTCCCATTACAATGATTCAAACATCAGATTAATGTTTCGAACATTAGATTTCAAACATCAGATTAATGTTTCAAACATTAGATTGATGTGCAAATGGAACTAAATGGATCATAAGAAAACTTTTAGGACTAAATGGTTCAACTTTTCAAAAATTAGGACTTATGAGTAAATCAAAAAGTCAAAAAGTTACTCCAAAATCCAAAAAGATATCACTATTCATCCAAAAAAAAAAATTAAAAAATTAATTTCTTTCAACACAGGTACGCACGGAATTGACACAGAGGCAGCGGCTGTGTGCGGCAGTGCAGAACAAAAGAAATGATTGGGTGTGATTTTTATACACACCGTTGTTCGTCCCATGGGGCCATCAGGGGTCCCGTTTTGATAATCTGAACCGTTCAATATGTAGAAATCGTCGAGTAATATATGTCTGCCAAAAATCACATTAATCGGATATCGAAAACTATATGATCAAATCAGTTATGTACAACAAATGGATAGTGTTATAATTAATGATTGAAAAATAAATAAATCTAATCAGATAGCTATCGATATCCGATTAACATAATTTTTTGTAGGTACATAGTGTTCGACGAGTTACACACATTGAACGGTTCAGATTATTAAAATGGGACCCGTGATGACCCCCACGGGCCAAACAAAAACGTCCAATGCTTTCTACAAAAATTATCCAATAATTTCCAATCCCAATACACGGCTGCATTGTGTACGGCTGGGGCCCACCACTCTCTAATCATCTCTTACACATTTTTTTTATACAATTTTTTAATACACATTTTTTCATAAAAATCCAAAAAGTTAACCCAAACTTCCATATTTTTTTCTCAACTTTTTTAGTCCAAAAAGACAAAAAGTACACTTTTTTAGGACACCATCAAGCTAAAATAATAAAAAAATAAACAAATTATTTTAGCTCTTTCCAAATGAAGACTTATCACTTGGACTTTTCAAAATAGTTTTATATATTTTTAATTCATATATTTTTATGTTTAGTAAGTTGTTTTAATATTTTATAATTTTTTTTTATTTTTAAATTCATTTAACCTAAATACACTTTTGTACAATTTTTTTTTAAAAATCTTCATTACAAAAAAAAAAAAAAAATACAAATTAAAAAGTTAAAAATTTATTTTAAAAAACCCATACAGAGATTGTCCAATCAAATAATTTATTTCCCCTTTTGCAATAAAAAATGTTAAATAATAAAAGTTGTTTTGAAAAATTAGGTTAAAAATTGACTTTTTTAATTTTAAATTTTTTTAAAAAAGAATATAAAAAATATGATAAATAATATAAATTAAAATAAATTAAAAATTAAAAAATTAACTACTAACTCACTTCCCAAAATAAACTAAAACTCAACATTTGAGAGTTGTCCCCACCTCCATAATCTCCAAATTTATTACAAAATTTAATGTCATAATCTGATGCCCAGATTTACATAATCTACAAATCATTAAATCCATCATTTCCAAAAATAAAAAAAGAAACCCACCAAATTACCAAAAAGCCCTGAAACTGTCCACGTGTCGTACAGACACAAGACTGAGCAGCGAGTGAAAAAAAACACTCACATTCTGATGAGGCCTCTACCTATTCAATCAGTTACGATTCGTGTCAAACATGTTTCATCACCTCACCACCGAGCGAGCCTTTTAACTCTTTCTCTCTTTTTTTTCCCCTTGAAAACCGTTTCATGACAACACACCGATTCCCTCTCTTTCTCTCTCTAAATCTTCTTCTTCTTTTTTTCCCCTCTCTCTCTCTAAAACCATTACCGTCAAGCACATTATCTGTACCTACACAAATTTGCAATCTTCTCTTCGATTCTATGCCAATTTTGATTACTGCTTCTCTGCTTGCTTCACCACCAGGTACGATCTTCTTCCAGATTTCTCTGTTCAATTTTTCCTGTTTTATTTGTATTTTGTTGCGTGTCTATATGTGGCGGCATTGGCGCCGGACCTCTGTATTAGGGTTTTTGATTGTTCTAGGGTTTTTGTTTGCGCGCTTTCTTTTTTCTTCTTCTTTTTGTATGTGTGTGTGTCGACTTGAAGTTGGAGACTGTGTGGTGTGGTGAATTTGTGTATATATGTGTATATGCGACTGCATTCGCCTATTGACATTGAAAATTTTAGGGTTTTGCTGGGTTTGATTGATTGGTTTTTTTTTTTTTTTTTTTTTTTGTTGATGTTATAGCTCTTTTTCTGATCAGCAACATTGTGCCTATTGTCTTTCATAATTGCTAAAAAGAACTCTCTCCATCTCTATCTCAATCTTATAATATCTAAGAACCATTGATATATGGGTAATTGTATTTGCACACTACAAAAAAAAATGCCAGTACACATCATTTACACAGTTTGGATATAAACTTTTAAACAAAAGTCAAAATTTCAGACATTAACTTCTGAACAAAAAGCATTTCCGACATAAACAGTTCAATGAAATGTATATCCGAGAAAATGATTTTTATTCGGAAGTTAATGTTTAAACATTTGACTTTTGTTTAAAAGTTTATATTGGAATGGTATAAATGGTGTGTATTATGAGTTGTGCGAATAGAATTTCCCTATATATAATTGTTTTGCTTTGTCTCTCCTTTTTTACCCCTCTAACAAAAACTATTGCTGTCTGCCTCTCTCTGCAGCTGGTTGTATAATTCCCAAACAAGGCAACCCTCTATCAAGTAACAATTCCATATCACAATTGTTATGTTATTTGAGAAACTCCATCGGATTTGCAGGTGCTTGTTTCTGCCACTAAGGTCAGGTCTACAGTAATCATATATATATATATATATATACTTGTTAGTTTTCTACCAAACATATATATTTCAGTCTGTAATTTGTGGTTATATATTCAAGTTTCGTATACACCTTATATAATTGATGCTTAGTTCTTGATTACTAGTATAAAAATCGTTTTGGCTTTTCATTTGCTCTGCTTGTGTGATCAGTTGTATTGTATGTAATATGTTCCGTCTAAAGTGCTAAATAAAATGGGTCATCTATTTTAAGAATTCAAAATAACAAATCCTATACAACACGACAGCGTGCCGAAATTCCTTCATGATAGTTTCAGCAATTTCTCACTGTGTTGCGCAAGTAAGGGTAGCAATGCACCGTCAGTCAGCAGTTTAACGGAGAGGACATAGCACCTACATTACAGAGTTTTGTACATATTTCACACACACACAAACACATACAAGCAGGGAGAGAGGGCTTAAGGGTAGAGAATGTTAAATGCAATAGTGGAAAAAGATAGCCCCTTTCCTTCCCATTGTTGCTTCATTTTTCCCATGTTTTCTCTATGTATTTCTATTTCTTAATCTCCATCTTGTTCTTGAAACTACTCTTTATTGTTGGTAGTAGTTCTTGAAAAACTTGATCACAGATAGAAATTACTCGTATTATTTTGATGGACTATTTGTTATCAATAGTTGGAATGCTGGATGTGTAGGATCTAGATTTGAGTGCAATTGGCTGTTATTGGAATTTTCAAATGCTTATTTTGGTATTGTTGCGTGCAACATTATATTTTCGTACCCGTTGGCTTTGTAATGTTACAGTTGTTGTTTTCCTTGTGTATCTACCTGATGGCAATTAGAATATATATATTAAGGAATAAATTGGCCCAATACAATATTGTGATTAGCAATTAGAATATATATTTTTTGAACTTTAAACTTTTTTTTTTAAATTTGTTTTGTTTTTTGTGTTCTTATTAAGTTTGAATTGAACTGGTAGTTATGATTTGTAGTTGATAGTTGAGGTCTTGCTTCTAAGTTCTTGTCATTCTTGGATTTTTTGCTCGTCATTCAGTGGGATTTAATCTGGGTGTACTTTTTTTTTTGGGGCATATTTTTAATGATTAAATGTAACCTTTATATATATATTATCTTCTTCTGCTTAGTTATCATTTCTGTTGTGTAATCTCTTGTTTAACAATTTTGGTGTTTGTGATTAAAAATATGTTGGTTTTTAGTAGTTCAGCACATTAAAATTCATAGAAATATAGATTTATATTCCTTATCTTATATAAATGCATCTGCTTTTCCTAATTTCCAGAACAAGTGCTCTGCTTCCTTATGGCATGAGCCTTTGGATTGCTCTAAGTGCCTCTGGCAATTGAGGGTCCTACCCAGTGTTGCTGTCACTGATCAAACGTTGATATGCCCATTGAAATATTACCTGTAGTAGCAAGTGCGAGCAGTTTCAAGGGAGGATCATCCAACATGGATCCTAACTGTGCTCTTGAAGAATTATCGGTATCTCTAAGATCATGTGAGCCTTTTTCTGTTACTGATAACGAGCCTTGTAAGAGCTTGGTTGCACCATGTATCTCGGGTACTGAGGTTCTTGTTGGTGCTCTTAAGTCTTTCAGCATAGTTGAGTCTTCTGAACATAGAGATGACAAAGGAAAGGATAAGGTTAAATTTGACGATGCTTTTGAAATAAAATGTCCTGACACTATATGTTCATCTCCTCCAAGGAGAAGTTCACAGAGGACTAAATTGAACAAGAAGACTCAAACAAGAAAAGGTGGAAGAAAATGTGGCAGGACAGTTATGAGAAAACCCTTGCTAGATTCAGTTCCATTCGGGGTGGCTAGAAAAAGAAGAAATTTTTGCAAACCAGCTCGTTCTTCTGTTTGGGGATCATTGAGCTATATATCACAATTTTTTGAGCAGAATACTGGTGTTGATGTCAATCAAAACGAACATACAAAATCACGAAACGCTAGGGGTGTTCAAGGAATTGGGAAGCATAGTAAGAATCAGGTGGGTGCTAGTTCACAGAGGTCAAAGAGAAAAAAAATTGCTACATCTGGTCGCATTCGGTTGAAGGTTACACTACGGAAAGAAGTGGGTCAAAGTTTCCTACCAAACATGGTTTCTATTACTGGCAATGGTCTTGGAAACGACTGGGGAACTAATTCAGATGTCCCTAAATTAACTGATGGTAGTGAAAATAAGTTGAAGGAAGAGGGTCCTAGGATTAATGGTTTTCAATGTTGCAATGGGGATTTGGAGAAGGCAGTATCAAACACTTCCAATGTGTGCCTTGCAAACAAGGACTTGGAGAGGCCTGTGATCTACGAAAACTCAGACGGAATCACTGCAGATAATCATCAAAGACTTCCTTCCGAGATAGAGGTTGAAGGATTGGGAGTTGCATTTGATAACAGGTACGTAGATTCAGGAACTTCACCTGATTCTGAAGTCATCAACCTGATTATGGAAACCCAAGTTAATGGAAACGTTCAAGAAGATTTGAAAGATGCCCTGATATCCTCCCAAGCTTGTTGTGTTGCTCCTGAAGATTTTACAAGTTTGGATCTGTCACAAATGAGAAATAAGAAAGGAAAGAAAAAGGATAAGCTTTTTCATGCAGGTAATTTCAGTGTTGGTGATAGGTTACCTAGTCAGGAAATCCTAAACAAAGCAAGTGTATTGGAGAAATGGGGACAAGGAGAGAAAATGGGAGATGGCTCTTACTCTAGTGAGGCTTCTATTTCAACTGCCACAGCAAATGTGTCTGGCAACACATCAAGTAGTGAGGGAGTTTCGAGAGAACCATTGCCTTCATCAAGAATTACTGACTTCGGAGTCTCATGTGAGAATTTGAAAGCTGAAAGTGGAACAGAAGAAGATATATGCTTCAGGCTTGGTGTAGGGCTCGAGTCACCAGAATCACATATTTCTGAGAACTTACTTCCTAATAGTAAAGCTAAGGGGTGGAAGCATTTCAAAAGTTCAAAACCGAGAGGAATGAGCAAAAGTGGGTCAGAAGTCTCTGATTCACCAAGGAGCCAAAGTGGAAATGCTTGTGGACAGAAGGGAAACCCAGTGAAGTCAGTTAGTAGGAAGAAAGTGAAAGACAAGGGTGCTTCCAATGAGGTTGTTTCCAAAGTTGAGAATCACCAAGAAACAGGTACAAAAAGTTTGCGATTTTCAAGTATGTGCTCTGACATATTATACACACACTGCATAAACTTTTAGTAATCAACTCCTTTCTTACATCTTTTGTCCAAACTTCTTTTCCCCAAGTGATGCACTTTTAAGTTAGACAAAAAGGAGTTTGCTTTCGATTTTACGGAGTCTTGTTGATTGTTGATTTGACATGCTTCAATGTTTTAGCAGGAGATTCCTACTGCTCCGAGATTTTGAATTCTCTCAATGCTTTTGTTGCTCAACTTAAAAAGGAAAAAAAATGTTTTGTAGGAGATCACTCATTGGATAATCCTGGAAAACCTAAGGCTCGCGATGTATAAACTTTTAGTAATCAACTCCTTTCTTATGTCTTTTGTCCAAACTTTTCCTTTTCCCCAAGTGATGCACTTTTAAGTTAGACAAAAAGGAGTTAGTTTTCGATTTTATTGAGTCTTGTTGATTGTTGATTTGACATGCTTTAATGTTTTAGCAGGAGATTCCTACTGCTCTGAGATTTTGCATACCCTCAATGCTTTTGTTTCTTAACTTAAAAAGGAAAAAAAAATGTTTTGTAGGAGATCACTCATTGGATAATCCTGGAAAACCTAAGACTCGTGATGAAAATATAACCAAGGACATATTCAACTTGAGCATGGTGCCTAGAGATGCAGGCAAGCAAGGTCTAATGCCAAGGAGTGCTTGGGTGTGTTGTGATGATTGCTTGAAGTGGAGGCGTATACTAGCTAATCTTGCAGATTCCATTGAAGAAACAAACTGCCGATGGTATGCTACCATGCTTATCTCAATTCCACATTGCAAACGTGCTATTAATTTGGAGGCCATTATATATATTATCTGGGGTTAGGTTTCTTGCCAATTTGCACTTGTTGGCTAATGTTTTATAAGTTTCTATAAAATTCAAGAGTAGGAAACTTTTCTCTTGTTTTCACAATCTCGTGAACAGAGCCTCATTACGTTAGCTGCATCTGCCCTTACCATACCTGGACCAGGATATGCCACCATGCTTTATAGGGTCTGCTAAGAATACTGTGAACATTTTTAAAATTATGAAGTTGGTTTTATAATTTATAGCCAAGGGGATTTGAGAAATCTTTCCTCTCTGTACCCAACCTCTGCCCCCTTTCAAACTACCCAAGACCTCCCCTCTAAAGAGTTACCTCATTTTGTACAAACTACAAAGTCACTATACCTCGAACTCGTACAGTGACATCGATCTCTGCAATTCTCTTCCTCCTACTACCACCACACCACCTTTCTCTCTGCATTCAACACAAAATCAAAGGTCCTCCCAACCTGCTACACAATCTTCCTCAAACCTTCAAATGTTCTGTAGAAATTTAATGTATAAAGAGAAATGATTGTATTATTGATTGATGAATGTTGTTTATTACAAATGGTGAGGGGCTCCTTATATAGGAGATGTAGTGGAGTAGGTGGTAGTAGGTGGTAGTGGTAGGTGTGTAGTAGGTGGTAGTAGGTGTAGTAGGTGTAGTAGGTGATGGTAGGTTTTAACATGTTCCATCCCCTCATACCTTGAAGGATCACTTTGTGCTTGGGAAGTGTAGATAGGTAGTAATTTAATAAAGGGAATCAGTTTTCTTAGACATTAGTGAAACAATGGCAATCAGTTTTCTTAGACATTGGTGAAACAATGTCAAAACTACTGAATCTGAAACTGATCTGAGAATATTAATTTACTGTATGATGGCTTTTGGGACAAAAACAAACCTGCTCTACAACAATCTGTTGATAGAGATTTTGGCAATAAAGATGGAGAGTGCGGCTATTTGGTGGGAGTTGCAATTGATATGTTTAATTCAAGTGAAGTTTGCTTTGTAAAAAACAGCTACCAAGCATGCCATTCATCTGTTTGGGCCAAGAGAAATTTGATTTGGAGAAAACTAACTTTTATCCATATAACAGTAGGCCTCATTTTTGCATAAATCGAGTGTAGTAGGCGAGTTTTGGTGGGATGATGTACAAACATGGAGCAAATTCATCCAGGCATGATGATATCCGATAAAAGTGTGTTCATTGCTTTTGGAACTTCGAATGATTATAATTATTTATGGGTTAAATTCATTTTACCCCTTGTAGTTTGGGATTGGAGCACTTTACCCCCTATGTGTCAAATATAGCCAGAAATACCCCATGTGGTTTTGGACTAAAGTGTTACCATTAGTTTTTCCACCCAAACTAACCGAAGGTGTATTACACACACTATTTTTTAGAGTGGGTTTTGTTTTTTGAAAAATTAGAATGAAATTAATACAACAAAAGGACAATTTTACCCCCATTTCCTCTAAACCTTAATTAGATTAATATGTTAATTAAAATAAAATAAAATATAATTAAGAATTGATCTAAATTATAAAATATAATTAAGAATTTATTTAAAATATAATTAAATAAAATATAAAATAAACAATAAATAATAATTGATCTAAAATGTAATTAAATTCAAATTACATTAACATGTTAGAAATTATAATAAATAATTAGGAATTTAGGATTAATTGTGATCTAAAATATAATTAAATTCAAATTAGATTAAAAAGTTAGTAATTACAATAAATAGTGAAATATATTGGATTAATTGTGATCCAAAATATAATTAAATTAAAATTAGAATAAAAATTTAAGAACTACAATAAATAATTAAGAATTTATAATTTATTGTGATTTAGTTGAATTAATACTAGACATTATAAATTATGTGTATGATAGATGAGAGAGAAAGAAAATAACAAAAAATATAGGGTTTGAAGGTATTATAATCGTTTCACAACTATAGTTAACAGTGTTAACAGTTTCATTTTAGGCCAAAACCACATGGGGGGTATATGGCTATTTTTAAACGACAGGAGGGTAAAGTGCTATCAAGTTATACTACATGAAGATAAAATGGATTTTGCCCTTTATTTATTTATTTTCTTTTAGGATCATTAATTTGGAGAGAGTTTTCATATTAGAGGGTTCATTGCTTTTGGAACATCATCTCATCACGCTCACCCAACAAAACCACTCTAATAGAAGAACTACCTATGAAGCACGGGTGTGAGTATGAATATGTCGATACGGTAAGATCCAAAAAAAATAGGGTACGGGTACGGGTACGGTTTGGTATGTTTGTAAAAAAATATTTACTTTTAATTTAGAATAATGTAAAAATTAATTAAATGGCTTAATTTGTTAAGATCCAACTTACAATTAATATTTAATGCCAAAAGTAAAGGTATAAACCAAAATTAAATGTCATTATATTAAATAACTTACAAATCATAGCTTAATTTTAAAATCATGTTAAGCATAAAACTAAAAATAAAAAAGAAGTTTAGTGAAATGAATTTTATCTCTATAGTAGAAGAAAATATTGTTTCGACTGAGATACGGTGCAACTTGGGTATATACTAGGTACGTCTGGGTACGTCAAAAATTAAGAAAAAAAAATTTAGATAGGTGTTTCGTGTACTTGATACGTATGCAAAAATATCATATGCCAGTAAGTACTCGGTATGGGTACGACATGTTTGTCGAAGTACCCATGCTTCATAGAGAACTACCATCCATGTCCAAGGAAGCCCTCAAAGAATTCACCACAATATTTGAAATAGATGAAATCTGAAATATTGAAGTTCGAATATATTTTGCCAAGAGGAGGGGGGTGAATAGGCCAAATACTAAAAATTAAGTAGGTGTTTGGCATGCACTAAAAAAGTGCACTTATTTGGGTTACATCAATTAACATCTCCTCTCTACTTTTCTATTCACTTTCTCTACTTTTCTACACATTTTTTTTATTATATAAAAAGTCAAAAAGTGCACTTATTTAGAGCGTCCCAAACCACTCATAACTTGATTTTAAGATTTACAGGCCAATTAACAATTCCAATTCAAATAAAGGGTGATAAAAAGAAAAAAAATCACAGAATAATATAAAGCAGAAAATACAATCTTAGCCTTGATCTTCGTACTAGGACGACTCTAGGAAAACTACGATCCCAACACCCCAAATAATCTACTATACAAATCAAAAGTTCATAGGACACAAATGAAAGGAATTACAACCATATTCAAGTTCACCTAACTCTAAATCCTCACCATGCGCCATGAACTCGGCCTGACTTGCTCAGCCTCCTTTGATTGCTAGATCACCACAAAGCTCCTCGCCTCGAGCTTCATACTTCGACAATTTCATTTACCTAACCATCCACTGGTGTCAAGATGAAGCAATGAATAGTATGTGAAGGTTTTTGTTTAGAACATAAGAGAATTGTCATAAGATGCAAATATTAAGACCGCTCAAAAGCTCTCAAGATTTTTTAGGAGGAATTGAAATGTGAGGCTTAAACCCTAAAAACATATTACGGTCCTTTATATAAAAGAATGGGGATTACAAACTTAAATAAAGTCAAATTAGGCTTAATCTTGTTAGGGTGATCGATCCCCAAACAATCCCTTAGCGATCCCTACACTTACCAGTAAAACCATGTTTTGCGAGCATTTAGCGATCAATCCCTCTTACTGGCGATTGATCCCTTGGTGATCAATCCCTTCAAGTGGCCATCAATCCCTCCGATGTGTGTTAGAGATTGATCCCTTTAAGTGGCGATCTATCCCTCCAAATGGGGTTTGACCGCTCAGCAATCCGTTGATATGGTTTGATCCCCAATCAATCTCTTATCAATTCCTTGGTAATCCCTTAGTTTTGGAAAAGGTGCAAATTTGCCAAATTATGGTAGAAAAGCATCCTAATAGGTGTACTTACAAAAACACTGTTGTCTAAAGAAATTCATCTGGATGAAATGCACAATACTTGAGTGGGTAAAGGAGTGATGCTTTCAACTGCTGATCTGATTCTTTAACATGAACACTCTCAACACTCTTCCTACTCTACCAAGGCCTATTACAACGTATTCCAAGAGCAAGTTTTGTCAAATGGAAATTGCCAAAACTATGTATTCAAGATTATATTTCAAAATCCACCTCTCCAACATCCATAGAAGCTAGTATGGTTCTTGTGCTATTAGAGCATCTCCAATGTAGAATAGTTAAAATGGCTTGCTATTGCTAAATTTTGACACTCCAACAATGTCAAAATATCAAATTTTAACAAACTTGCTCCAATGCAAAAATGCTATTTTTTAACATAACTACTTTTCCCTCAACATCAACTTTTTTCCACCAACCAATTTTAAATCCATACACCATCTTTCCAATACTTTAAATCCCATCAATACAAAATAAATTAATAAATAAAACAAATAATAATAAAAAAAAGCGTATAAGAAAGCACCACATATCACTCATTTTATCCCAGCCACTCATTTTATTTCAATCTAGAGACAAATCCCCACCAACCCCCAATCTGGTTCTACTAACTCAATCTAGGCATGTCCCTCGCCCTCTTACAATCTCATTTCCCAGTCTCACTCCTTTCCGAATCTTCAATCTTACTGTTTCCTCTCATGGGTGTTTTTGGTTGAAAAGAACAGAAGAGAAAGGAGGAGACTCACTACTGCCAACATTGTAAATCTAAGAGGACTCGGTCACACCCACCAAAATTGTTGTTCTCAACCACACCTAGTCTCACCCAACCATTGTCGTTCTCTGTTTGTTCTTTTAGTTTTTAGTTTTTTTTTATGTATACTTATGGATCTATATTATTTTTCTATGCATATATATGAACAAAGTCTCATATGTATGCATTATATAATATATATATATATATTTAGAATAGAGATTTGTGTGTATGCATTTATTTGGATTATGTATGTTTGTTTGTTGGTGTTTTTCCTGGGATGTTCATGAATGGAAGGGTAAAGAGCTTGAAACAGTTAGTTGTGATGAGTTGGTAAATTTGGCAATCTGCTAAATCTTGTGCCAAATTTGGCACAAATTATAGCACTGTCAAATTTTGACAGGTCAAATAGCAGATGCATTGGAGCACCAACTTTTGTTCAAGTTGCTAATTTAGAACTGTAGCACAGGGTTTAGCAGCTGCATTGCAGCAGCTCTCAGTCAAAGTTTTCCCCTTCTGCATTTCTTCTTCAATAGCCACCAGACTAGAAGACAATGGATAAGAAGGCTTGGACTTAGGTTGTTGGTCTTTCTGAAGTATCTGCCTATAAGATAACCTAGGCCATAAATTGGACCTCTTCAAAAATCCCTTACCGGACTCGACAGTCTTGTAAAAGCTATGCAAGATTGAGTTTTTAAAGTAAAAATGAACAATATAAAGCTATGAAACTTTCTATCATTACAAGTTGAAGTGGACTGAGATGGAGAAGAGATCTCTTCTCTGATGCCATGATGGAGAACCACGAGCAAGTAGATCTTGTAAGAAAAAGTACAAACGATGGTCAAAATATCTACTAAAATTGTGTATTTTTCGTGGATATATACTCTTGAAATTGTGCTATTCTTTTACAAACAATAAAAACAAAAATCATAGCATTGTAAGTTTCAATTTTGGAAAATTGTCATTATGCATTTTTGGACCCTAGAGAGAGACAATATTATTACCTGGATTACTATTGATCACTCATTAAGTTTTCTGATCTGTCCTTCCATTCTCGAATGAGAGTGAGAAAATGGGATTTAGAGAGAAAGAGAAAGTGACATAGAGGGTTTGGTTTGGTTTGGGGGAAATGAGGGAGGAGAGGTGGGGAGAATAGCTTGTGAGAAAGAAAAAAAAAATAGTAAGAAGAGACCGAATAGAGACACATGTTGAGATTAGTGTTATTAAAGGCTGCCTAGGCATGCGCCTAGGCCCAAGGCTCATCCAGGCGCTATTAGTGTGCTTTGCAACATCTTAGGCCAGGCTATATAAAACAGCCCCAAAAAGGCTCGTGAAGCGTGCGCTTTGGGCTTAGGCTCAATGCACATGACTTTTGCGCTTCTTTTAAAATGTTTATTAATTAGTACCCTTGATTTCACTTAATCTTTTTTTTTTTTTTGGGTTTTTGCATGGTGCTACAATTAAACCCTTAAACATACATTGTAGGTTGCAACCTAATACTTTTTTAGCCCTAATTATACAAAGATGTTGGTTGGATAGGGCTTTCTCTTCGACCAGACCAACAGTTTTCTTCATTCTTCTTCTCCTTTATCTACTTCTTCTCCTTCTCCTTCTCTATGCTTATCTTATATGACATTTCAATTTCATCGCTATTTTCAAATGTTTATGATTTATGAGTTATATGATTGTGTTTATGTGCAACCTTGAATTATTTTTCTATGATAAAATATTGGTGTTAGTTGGTATTTATGTTTTAAAATTCTTGAATTAACCATGGTGCACTTGTGGGAAACTTCTTGACGAGGGCCTGTGCACCCTTGGGGATTAGTTGGGTTTTGATTTGGACACCCTAGTGCGAATAAAAAAATAAAATAAAAATAATATTACATTTTACTTATGTTGAACTTTGAATTATTTTCTTATATTAAATTATCTATATTTTATTGTCAACGTGAGCCTTGCTTCAACGAAGTCCTTGCGCCTAGTCCCTAGGAAACCTTGGTGCTTTAGAGCACCTATCGGCTTTAATAACACTAGTTGAAATGATTTTATAACTTTGTTAGGGACAAAACTGTCCAAATGAATGTTCGACAAAACCAAGCACACAAAAATAGTAACATCCTCTAGCCTTTTTTTATATATAGTTGAAATTATATCAAAATTGTGATAAAATTAAGGCTTTGTGGGATAGTTGGGCAATGTGATTATATTCTATTGTACTTTTAAGGTGACTAATTGTGTTACATGTGATGTGATTTATATCAAAGGACCTGCATGGACAACATAGATAAAGGCTTTGCTGACTGCTCGATACCTCAGGAGAAGTCAAATGCAGAAATTAATGCAGAGTTGGAAATATCAGATGAGGAAGATGCTTATGATGCCTTATATTCCAAGAGACTGGAACCAAAACATTCAACAGGTATATGATTTTTGCTACTGATAGCATATTATGAATATTACATCCTTGCTGTGGAGGTTTGATACAAGTTAATGTGCCTTGCAGCTCAAGAACAGTCCTCTTGGATGCTCATCAAGTCGAATTTGTTTCTGCATCGTAGCCGTAAAAGTCAAACCATTGATGAGGTTAATACCTAACAGAGTTTACATTTTCACTTTTAACTCATCATTATGATTGAATTTTTTTTTGGCTGCATTACATATTATCCCTGGTGGGAAGAGCATAACTTTTGTATTACAAAGCCAATGGAGGTGCATGAAAGGTTGATTTTGGTGGCTGTGGATATGATTGAAAAATGGTTATTTGCTTAGAGATGTCTGGAAATGTGTCAACCATTTCTTTGGTGTGGTGGAAGGTGGGGGAAATTGTAATCTCACTGGGGGAATATGTGAAGCTAACATAATGCAGAAATGGTGATAATGCGAATTGCTCGCTTCTTCTGGTGAAATACTATTTGACAATAGTATAATTTAGAGAAATATCAATTCAGTTTTGATCCTACAGATCTAGTCAAAATTTTCCATGTGGGAAATATGATTTAAATTGGAAATAATTAGGGTCTTAAGAGGTTTGACATCTTGATGTCATTCTATAATTAATTACAGTTCAATTCGTTGGCTAAGAAATTTGCTTGTAAAAATAAGGAAAAAAGAAAATCTCTATGTGACTGTCAATCCGTGTCTCTTTCCCAAGAATACCAACATTTTTTCTTGTTGGGTTGTCCAAGTTTTGGTTGATTTTGTCGATTATTTGTTTGCATGTTTATGGCCCAGCAAGTATGTCTATAATCAATTTTAATTTTGTGTCATTTTCTTTTTGTGGAAAATGATCATGCGAGTTAGGGACTTTGAAGGCATCCTCTGTTGGGACAAAGTGGCTATACTGGTATCTATTGTGCTCTTTTGATATTACCTTTCACACTCAGCTAAGAAGATCAAAACTTCTTAGAAGGTGGCATACACATCAGACACCGTTGCTTGTCAGACACTTCTCAATACATGTCGGAACATGTCCAAGTGTGTCATTATCTTTATTTTTTTTTGGAGACTGGGACACACTTTGGATGCTTTGGACACAAATGTCTCTTAAACACACATGAAATACATTGTAAATATAAATAAAATAACTTGGAATCTAATGATAAAAGAAAAACAATATAGGTTTGTACATATTAATTTCTCCTTTACACTTTAGAAATTAGTGTTATATTGTATTTTTCTATTATCTTTGAATAAATATTCATATATGTTACATGCAATAAATATATAAAACTATGTATTTTGCATGTGTCCCCCACGGATCGTATCTTGCATTTTTGAAAATTATCGTTATGGTACATTTGTGTCATGGCTGTCTTGCATCACATGTCCATATCCATGCTTATTATATAAAGGATCATAGTTTTGGTGTCTCTCCTTTTTTCTCTTTTCTTCCTCCCCACAGTTATATTGAACCATGTATGGCCTATTTTATTTTAAGAACATTTTAGTAGTTGGGACAATTGCACTCTCCTCTTGGAAGGAGATATGGGTTTAAAAGCTCCAACCAAGGTTGCTTTTGGCACATGGAAAAATTATTACTTTATTTCATTTGGTGTAGGCATATCATTGTGAATCAGTGTTGTATTTGCAAGGAAGATGCTGGAATTGGTAAAACATTGTCATAGCTATTGTAGTGTGGCATGGGAGTTGCAGACTATTATCTTGATGTTCTATGGTATTTCTGGGGTCTTTCTAGACGTGGCTGAGCTCTTGCATTGTTGGAATGGGTTGTGGGTTGGTAGGAGAAAAAGTGGCTCTTGTATGCTTGATGTGGTTGATTTGGAGTGCGTGTAACCACTGCTTGTTTGATGTGGTGGAGGAGCCTTTCTATATATTGAAGAGTTCTTTTTGAAACTTTTGTATTGCTGGGTGTCGTTGTGGTCTTCATCAACATTTTTTTTGGATTTTATAGGTAATTTTGATCCATGAGTTGATGTATAGCTACTAGCGGACCAATGGGGGGGTTAGGGGGGAGGGGGTTGTGGCTCTTGCTAAGGTCCCAAAAATTGCATTAATTTGTAGTGTTTCAGTTTTCTGGTCTGTATATTGCGTAGGGTACCCCGCAAAACACTTTCAAGTCTCACCACAATATCAAATCAAAAAGGGTAATGAAATTAGTGATGTTTAGTTATGATCTATAGTTGTGGTTGATTATGACCAATAGTGGTTTTATGTTATGAACTTAGCAGTGTTTGGCTATGACATATAGTGGTGTTGATTATGAACCAAATGAACGGCTTAGATTATTTATTTTTCTTATATAAATCTAAAGGCAAGAAATGGAGATGCTTATGCTATTCACTTCTTTAGGGGTGTGTATAGTAGTGGTTTCTTAGACTTTTATACCTTTAGGCCCTAACTAACATCATATATTGTACAATATGAAAAAAGCTTCTATATAATCCTATTTTCTTGTTTTTTGTTTTGTGCATGTCTATCTTAATATCGATTGAGAATTTTATTTGTGAATTTAATGATATTTTTAAATTTTTATGCTTATAAAAGTGTATCTTTTAGTTTATTTATTTATTTATTTTTGAACAGATCTCTTTTAGGTTAACTTATGTACAATACTTTTGTTATTAATGAAATAATTAGAACTTTGTTCCCAATTTTGAATGCATACAGTCTGGCCACTCTTAGCCTTTTCCTTGTTTATGGTTTGGTAAACTTTCTTTACTTCTGCTCCAACCATATATGTACTTTACTGTTAAGTATTTTGCTATGTGTCTTGGTATCTAATCCAACGCCTTTTATATTGATACATATGCAATTTCATTTTCACATTTTTTCACATAGCCTTTTCCCTTTTGAAAATTTTGACCTGTACTTTTAAATATTCGTACCACAGGCAATAGTGTCTAAAATATAAAGGCAAGTAGCATTTTTATTTTAATATTTAAAACTAAGTAACCATTAAATTTCATTTGAATGATTATGAGAACTTAAGTGTATAAATTTCTAGCCCCACACTGTCAAGATTTATAGCTATATATGTTTTTGTGTGAGTGTATAATTGTTAGTTTGGATGCTGAACGTTCTTTCTCTTTCTCTCTTTCTGTTTGTCTGTCTGTATGAACTAAGATGTTGATAATGATATTGTTTACAAGTTGATGCATTTGACCTTTCGACTAATGAAACTGCTGTGGTTTTGTCAATAACTTTTTTTGTTTCTTGTTATGTTTTGATTTTCTCCTACCAGATAATGGTTTGCCACTGCAAACCACGTCCAGATGGCAGGATGATGGGTTGTGGTGATGGATGCTTGAATCGAATGCTTAATATTGAATGTGTTAAAGGGACTTGCCCATGTGGGCAACGTTGTTCAAATCAACAGGTTGGTTATTTTACTAGATTGGTCATTGTTTTGTTGTTGTAAGTGAAGGGTATCACTTTCTTGTGATTATCTGGTTGCAGTTTCAGAAACACAAGTATGCCAAATTGAGGTGGTTCCGATGTGGAATGAAGGGTTATGGGCTCCAGTTACTTGAAGATATCTCCGAAGGACAGTTTCTTATTGAATATGTTGGGGAGGTAACTTTTGGCACTTTGTCTTAAAAAATGTGTGTGCCTCTAAATGTGATGATATTAATGAGAAAAATAAAAGATGGACTTGTTCAGACAAGAAGGAATTTTGTAAGCGATGCAACTTAATCATTAGCCTGAACTTTTAATGTGGTTGTTTGCATCTACTGAGCTGGACCTAAACCCATGTTCATGCTTTTGTTTTTATGTTCAAATTTATTATTATTATTTTAAAGTCCAATCATTTTAAAATTATATTGTCGTCTACACACATATATACATGTATCATTTTAAGTGTATCTATGTTTAAAACAATGGTTGTTCTAGGTGCTGGATATGCAAGCATATGAGGCACGACAAAGAGAGTATGCTGCAAAGGGTCATAAGCATTTTTACTTCATGACATTGAATGGCAGTGAGGTTTGGCAATCTCTGCTCAAATGTTGTTTTGAAAAGTAATTAAATTGTTTATGAAAAGTAACGACTGTGAGTAGGATATGATTTAAGATAATTTAATGCTATCTAAAAACTTCTGTATGTTACGTTTTTCAAGGTGCTTCATGGCCTCAAGTTATGGAACCTATTGTAATGGAACAGAATTCACTGGGCTGTTCTTGGTTGCAAAGTTTTGGTTGTCAAATGTTCTGTAATACATTTAATCTTGGGCACAAATTACTGGTTTTCATCCAGGTCATTTCAATACGAATAATTTTAAATTTTAGGAATTCCTTAATTTAGTATTATCATCAAACAAGATTTTGTATTTCCTTTTAGATTTGAAGTTTGTGTTTTGATTTTCTTCGTATATGTTCTCATGGAGAGGCGCGCAGCTGACACACACTGCGTTCAGCTTTGGAAATTTTTAGTCTGATCTTAAAATCAGCTGAACTTCTGACTTGTAATATCCTAGATCTGGATAACATGAAAACACAATTTTTTAAAAGAAAAACTACTTGTACTTTTCTCTTCTGGAAATGGGAACACTTTTATTGCATAGTAAAATAAGTAAAAAAGTAGAATCATGTGTTATGATTTTCATGGTAACTTCTTTTCTTCTCCTTCTCATTTAATTTTCGAGAGATTTTAAGGACTTACTTAAACCTGCAACATTTTGCACTTGCTTCACATGATTTTCATGATATTCCTTCTCATTTAATTTTTGAGAGATTTTAAGGACTTACTTTACTTAAACCTGCAACATTTTGCACTACTAAATGTAATTAAAATGCTTTCTGGTAAGTCTCCTAGGGTTCAGTGCTGCTACAACTACATACTGGCTCTGTTAGTTTTGTATAAGCTTAATTTGGTCTAAGTTGGTATCACTCAGAGCTTATTACTTGAACTCAAGCTGTAACTTAACTGTAGAATGATTCCCTTTACTGTACATATATAGCAGTATTGCAGAAAATTTAGTTCCTTGTGCTCTTTGTATGAAGTGTTCTCATTTCATTTTAAATCATCTATTGGTCATGCCTTTATATGTGCACACATTTTGTGTTCATATATTTCATATTTGTTTGATTCTTTCCTTGAACAAATATTTTAGTCTTAAGTTTTTGTTGTGTTTTGTGTTTCATCATGCATTTGTGTGTGTATACTCATTTTCATTCACATTCAATGAATAGCATAATTTTATAATTGTAAGATTTTGTTGTGTGGTTGTTATACCTCTTCTAATAAAATATTGACGTTTTCTCTTTTTCAGGTAATAGATGCATGCGCTAAAGGGAATTTGGGCCGTTTCATAAACCATAGTTGTGATCCTAATTGCCGTACAGAAAAGGTGAACATACTTGCAAGCATGAGTTTGCTATGTACTTCCATTTTCACTCTTTTTTCCTTATTATAGTTTGTAAATGTAAATATTTGAATGAACCTCTTTAGAGTATTTTCTAGCAAGAGAAGAACTTGTTTTTGGATCTCTCAGGCCTCATATTTGTGAATAGTCACCTTGTCTTCAAATAGTCACCTTTGTCATTAAATTTGTTATCCCATGCTTCTCTGTTATTCTTTTTTTCTTTATTTGTATTTGTTTCTTTGGAGACTTCTATCTTTGTTGTGATGTATTCTATATATGATTTTTAAATTACTTCCCCTCTCATATGGGTGCCTTCTGGGACGAAGAAAAAGAAGAAGAAAAACTGTGATTCTATAGTTGTGGAATGACTTGTTTGTTTTTAATGTTTGAAAAGGCTGATACAAACTTACACCAGGACATAGAAGTGCCACTATGGATGATAGATCACAAAAGAAGTGCATTAAACATGATACTTTGAATTTTGGTTTATGCATTTGATGGGACTTAAGGCTTGGTTTGGTTTGGTTTGGTTTGGTTTATTTCATAGGGAATTGTGTCAATGGATTGAATGTTATAGTTGGTAGAACTCTTGAATGAACATGTAGTTGTCAATATTGCATCATGTAGAAGGTAGAAAGTGCATGAGAAGGAACTACAACTATAACAAGGTTACTGTCAAGTCAACATTGCAGTCTGAGCAAGATAATGATAGAGAATTGGAGATGCAGCAGCAATTCGAAGCAGTTGTGAACCCACATGCTTTGCACCAGACATTGTTATGCAGCCTTAGTCACTGTATTAAATGTAAATTATTATGTTTCAGAATTTTTTGTTTGTCATTGCATGTCTTATTTGCTAAGGCAATTTTGATGACTCTGTCGGTCATGCGTAATTTTTTTCCAAAGTCATCATGCTATAATGCCAGTTTTCATTGTTCAGTACAATTTTTTTTTTTCTTTTTTTTTTTTTCTCTATTGGCTGTATTCAGGAAAATTATTTGTAAGGTTGATTATAAGGTAGGAAAACGTTTTTTATTTGATTATTAGGCATTGGAATTATTCATAAAAAATTAAGGTAGGCATTTATTATTGAAGTGCGACAAGTCATGGATTGACTTGGCGAGGAAGCTTGTTTTTATATTAAGAGAAGAAACCTAGTTGCTACATTTTCTACTAAACCATGTAACAACTGTGATTTAAAACAGGATACAAATATTAATTTTGAAGCCCAACAATATGTTTACTACATAGGTGAAGCATTCTCATTGATCAAATGGCTTGAGCTGTTCGCAGGGAACACAACTTCTATTTGTTTCCATTGAACAGCCAAAAATGTATATGTTTTCTAACAGAGCGAAACGAAATACTAGCCGATTAATGAAATTGTTGTGTTTCCATCAAAAAAGATTGGAACACAACGAAACCCACCAAAAACACGAGTCAATATACTGATACAATAAATTGTGTTAATATCATTTTATAATTTTTCATAAATGTTGTCACAATTTTTTTTTAGAAAAATATAAATGGCTATATTTTACTACATTAATCAATATTATTTTTACTAACATTATAATACTTTATTACTGTTGTTTAAGAAAATTTTTAGACCTTATTTTTTGGGATCTTACATACTTTTAGAATCATTTTCATTTACATTTACATTGTGTCGAATTAAATTGAGTTTTTATATTTTAATTTTTTATAAATACTTTACAATTTCTTTTTCTAGCAACACTATTATTTTTTGTTTTAATTTTTTATTTTACACTTGTTCTTTTATGTGAATGATTTTGTAAATTTCAATATGTTTAATTAATCAATTATTAGGTTTTGATATGTAGATAGATTTTAATTTATGTTTCCAAGAACTTATATGTATTTTCAGTTTTTTTTTTTAAAAAAAAAAAATCATTTCCATTTTCTATGCTAACTCAAATGTAGGATAAATATAGGGAAAATATTAGTTGGCATTTTGGAGTAGGTTAACTAACCGAATGACATGAATTGTGGTGAAGATTAGTTGATGAATTTTTTCCAAAACCATTTTAATGCATACAAATAGGGGAATTCCAAAATTTCTACTTAGGGAGTGCAATATGGATTTTAGTGGTTATATAAAAGTGATTTCTCCTTACTTGGATGTATAAATATAAATGCATTGTATTTTGTGTTGTTTGTGACCATAATGATAGTGTTATGCTTTTTATAGAAATGGGTTATTATAGATTGTTATTTATGTGGAGAAAGATATAGAACTTATCTTTATTTTGAGCCCCTAAACTATCAAGTTTGGAATACATGCTAACTTGATTCTTACTCCCATCTTCATTGGCCAATGATGCAACAATGACTAAGGATAGACATACCAAGATTTTAGGTAACCTGAAGTTCAAATTAAAGAGTGGGAAACTGTTTGTCATACTTTCTTGCTTTTGGAAAGTGATGAAAAACAAAAATGAAATTATTATCGAGGTGGAGACTGACGTTATTGTTGTTTATGTGTAATGAACTTGTTGACTAGTTTCTTTAATGTGGCTTTATAGACTACGTAAATGCTTGATGAATGGATGAAAGCACTCTAGCGATTATTTGAGGAGCATATTTGATATTTTAAGCTATACTAATTATCTTGGTATTCAAATATGAATCACTGGATGAAACTCAGGGAATAGCAATTGAGTGGAATTTATAAGATTGTAGACATTAGTATGAGTTAAAAAATTTGATTCTCTACTTGGAAAATCTATCATAGTTATTTTTTTATTGCTTAATAAATTTAGAGCAATGAAGAAATGGCTCCATCTCGTAGTTATTGACTTGTTTCGAGTATATGATCCTAGGAAAGTAGAATCTTATGATCTTTGATCTGATCCATGAGACCCTTGACCTGAGCATATGTTGGATTTTGATTTTAACCACCATGCCCAAGAGTGAGCATTTTCATTACCATATGCATATTATCAATATGAAAGGGGCAATTAAGGAGGATGTTGCTAACACACGTAGAGTAGGATGGATGAAATGTACTTTAGATGTATGGTATGACTATTGAAATCCTACAAATATTATTATAGCATAAAGTGTCATTTAGGCCCTTGAGAATTCATGTGGTTAAAATATGAGTGTACATGAAATGAGGATATTGAGATATGTTGACAAGAAAAGATGGGCTAGGAAGCAAATATATTTGTGGGAGATTAGATGTGGCATATATTGAATTTAAGATTTGGAAAGTTCGATTGAGATGGTTTAGCCTATATACAACTTGACCCAATTTATATGCCTTTATGCGGTGATTTTATCCACTTAAAAGTTTCCAAAAAAGCAAGTGCTTAGGTTATGAAAGGCGTGGTTTGAGGTCTTGAGAAAGGACATGATTGTGCTAAGTCAATATTATTGATAACAGCTTTATATAGAGTCATATACAAAAGATAGGCCCTTATATTTCATCCCCAAAAGTGGGGATTAAGATTGATAAGTTGTTTATCCTCTTTTGTTTATTTTTGGGAAATTGTACATTCATGTAGATATATAGGAGGCTTTTGTTTCCAATTTTGTTTCCTTTGTATGCACCGTGTATGTCGCTTTAGTGTAATAAGTTTACATATTAAAAAAAGAAAAGAAAAAAAAGAAAGTGCATAATGTCGAAGTAAAGGGAATTGGAATATAGGATAAGTTGCAACTTTGATCTCTAGGAAGTGTAGATATAATACAAAATTAAAGCTCCTAGTCATCACCTGGGAGTGCAATTTATTTTAATTAAAATAAATTTACTTGTTTTCAAATAAACAATTCATGGCTAGATAGGTCTAGAATGAGAGAAAACAACAAAATTCATGTGATTGCATTATAATAAACACCTTAAAGAGTTATAGAAGTTATTCTTCTAACGCCAACACTTTGACTAACATTTCTAATGGAGCCCAGTAGTACCATTAGATGACGTCGTTACATTTATTCCATGCCAAAGTGACTCCTTAAATAGAAAGTTTTTGCTACCACTACATATTGATTTTACCAAAGCCATCAAAAGTATGTGTCAACCAATACTAGGGAAAATAATCAATGAGTCCCATATTAGATGTTCGGGAGTTCATTTCCAGTAAGGCATTTGCTTCTGAAAGGTATTGAAGAAGCTTGAATTTTTTCTTACCGTTCGTGTGAAGAGAGTAAAGGTATTCCCCTCGGTTACCAGGAAGCGCAAGGTTGCAAGGTAATGACGTTCCCTATGTAAAGTATGCTTTTTGATAACTAATTAGAGTTGACATAAAATGGATCACAAAAGAAGATGTATTCGATGAATGAATTATTTAGCCTGTCCTACTCACAAGGTTTTGGGAGATTCTAATACAAGGCATTGTAATAATTTTTTTCTATTTTCAGTTTCAATCCCAGACACTGATATAGTGAGAGTCTTGTGCACTAGGTTCAGGCTTTTATTGGTTTTAATTCTTCCTTTTTGTTTTGTCTATTCTTGTGTTACCCCTTCACTGTACTTTTGCAATATCTTTACTTGTATAAAAATGTTTGTCTTGTCCTTGGTGGTAGGATATGGTAAGTCAGATTTAGTTACTCCCAAAGGGACTCATGAGTGTGGTGATAGATGGAGTGGATTGATCAAAATAAGTGACACTGAGAGTCCTCTGCACTAAGAAGCATGGACATGGAAATGCTGACACGATAATTTTAAAAAACGTAGGACAACTATACATAGTGGACACACAAAATGTATAATTTTATAAATTTATTATATGTCATATATTTGAATATTGCATTCAAAGTTGATTAAAAGATATATCATAAAACAAATATATATCATAAATTGAATTTCTAAAGTTGAAAGGATGATTGATTAATAGGTATAAGTCTGCATTATGTTTCTTTTATCATTAGATCTTACGTTATTTTGTTTAAATTATAATATGTCTCATGTATGTCTTATGTGATGAGCACGTGTGTTCTTTAAATGTACAAAGCCGGTTTGAGTAGATTTATTTATTTATTTAATTTTTTTTTTATAAAAATAATAAGACATGTTTGGACGTGTGTTTGACATGTATTGGAAGTATCCAATGTGTGTTGGGATGTGTTTGATGAGTGTTAAGAGTCCGACATTGATACACCACCTTCTTAGAAGTGTTTGTGCGTCTTGGCAGCTGCACTTTTGATGGCACTTTGAATAACCATCTGCACTGAAATAAGATGGTTGTCTTTCAGGATATCACTGTGTTTCTATTTTGTTCCTTGTTTGTTTGTGTGTTGTTGTATATTGGTTTTGTTTTTGTTTTTGTTTTTATGCAAAATGCATTAAGTAGAAGAATGTATTGTGTGATATGATTTGCTTCTCCTTGAACCCCTTATTTTGGTGATGGTCCCCCTTCTATAATTGCTTTCCTTTAGGGGCTGACATATTTCCTCATATCATATGGCAACAGATGGAAGGAGGAGCAGAAATACAGTGTTCACTAGATGCACTTATTTTCCTCATTAACATATTGTAAATAATGTTAATGTGTTGAGATGCTTTAATTTATTGGACCATACTGATTAGTTTAAGAGCGAAGATATTGGCACAAAAAATTTTACACACTAAATTACTTCCCCTCTCATATGGGTGCCTTCTGATGATGTGGGCTCCACACCCCATGTGAGAAAGGAGTAATTCATTGTGCCCCTATCCCTAGCATTGTTGATAGTTTTAATGTGGGGTGATTTTTTAGTTGAGATATGACTACTAGATTTGTTTCATTATTTCTGGGGAAATAAATGGGTTTTTATTTTATTTTATTTATTTATTTATTGGGCATTAGACACGAGATGGTGATTGGACACAGTTGCACACTTCAACATTGTTCATTTGGTAGATTGTTCTACTGGTTGCTAGAATTGCAGCTTCTAGAAAACACATTTACATGTTTACGTATATTATGCACCTGCATGTATATTTATTATGACAACATTAAGTTTGTTTTTGGAATTTTCTCAAACAGTGGATGGTGAATGGAGAAGTTTGCATTGGACTCTTTGCATTAAAAGATATTAAAAAGGTAATATTCCTACACATCTTAGTTATTTCCATGCTTAGCTTTTTGATTGAATCCAAAATGGCTGTAAATCATTTGCATCAGTGGTGATTTTTGTTGGTCTGAATGTTGATTTTGGATGCAAAATTCTGAATTGAGTTATTGAAAATGGTAATTTTTGTAAGGTATAAGGCCCAAAACACACCCCTGACGGGCATGAGCATGCCATATGCCAAGACCCAAAGAAACCTAGACTGCTAAAGAAGTAAAAATCTCACAACCCCAGAGTCTAGGTGATGCAGCACACTAAAGGGGCCAACATACCAATGTAGTTGAAAAAGAATCAGAGAGGAAGAAAAAGAGGAGAAACTAAGAATAAAGGGGAGAAAAAGAAGAATGAAGGGGCGAAATGGGAGCAATCCCAGTTTATTTATTTTTTGGATCAGCAACAAAAGAAATTTATTTAGAAGCGAGCAGGTAAAAGAACAAGGGTACAAGAAGTCCACTGAAATCAAGAGAAAAGAAAAAACATGTATCCTCACACTCTACAAATAGCATTCAGTAATTTAATTCTTCAATATTTAAGCAAGTCAGATAAACCTAATACATAATGGCATATTTATAGGCATTCTAGGAAACCCTAATAAAAGTTATCCAAAAAAAAAAAACTACTATAGAGGATCCAAGTGTCTTAATTGAGTACAGGTGTTGGACACATATTTCACTCCCTTACTTTTGTCACATCCTGTTGAGACGAGTACTTTGTGGAAATAGAAGAGTCCATGTAACACAACTCACCAAACCTTTACCCATGATATGGCTATATTATTATGCCCAAATCCATAGTGCAAAGAAAAATGTGATGAAGGAATTTGTGACTTTCAATCTATGAGGAAGGGGAGTAATCCTACTTGAACCCTAAAAGTACCTATTTTTTTCTGATTAACTAGAACCTATTTAAAGATTTAACCAGAATGGCCTTTGGTTTGCTGATATTGCATTGACATTTGCCAAAACTTTATACTCTTGAATGGGAAGAGTATCTCTCGGTCGACAGCAGCTTTGTGGAATTAGTTCTGAATCCTTGAAGTGTCATGTGCACAGATGACTATGCTGGAAGTAGCAGTGGATGTGTGTCTGAATCAATGAATTGTTGCATAAGTAAACAATTTTGTGATAAGTTATAAACGTCCTTGTTCTACCTTCTAATCCGAATCTTTAAAATATGACGAAGAGAGAGAATGAATAAATCGAATGACTAGTAAGCTAGCTGCTTATGAAATGTTTAGGACCTTCACATCGTAGCCCTACTTCCAAGAACCTTGGCTTTCTACATTCCACTACTGCACACAAATTCAATTGTCTTATTTTCAAGCTTCTAGAGTTTTAGGGTCTTCCCAGAATCTATACTATGTTTCGGTGAAGAGTGTGTTGGGTAGTATCCCACCTTATTTTATGTCAGTTCATGTCATTCCTATGTTGGTGGCTCGACGGTTGAAGAGGCTGCAGCGTGATTTTTTGTGGGGAAGTGATGGTGGGGGGTTTTGGTATCATCTCGTTAATTGGAAGCAGGTTTGTTGTTCTAAGAAGGCTAGGGGGTTGGGGGTGCGAAGGCTGTGTAAGTTTAATTTGGCTTTGTTAGGAAAGTGGTTATGTCGGTTTTCTAAGGAACGGGACCGTTTGTGGCGCAGGGTGGTGGCTTCCAAGTATGGGTTGGGGAGGGGCGAGTGGTGTACTAGGTAGGGTGGTGGGAGGCTCTCATGGGTGTGGCTTATGGAAGGGGATTTGGTTGGGGAGGGTTCAATTCTGGGAGTGGGTTCAGTTTCGGGTAGGCAATGAAGCTCGGGTGCGGCTTTGGAAGGATAAGTGGTGTGGGGAGGTTACCCTTCACGATCGTTCTCCTTTGATCTACTGGTTGGTGATGGACCTGGAGGTGTTGGTGGCTTCTTGTTTGGCCAGAGATGGTACGGAATTGGTTTGGGATATTGTTCTTCGTCGCCATACTTAGGATTGGGAGGTAGGGTAGTTGGTGGAGTTGATGACCTTTTTGTATGGGGTCCAGGTTAGACCAAGAGGGGGAGGATGATGTGGTTTGGGGAGTACCTGGGGCAAAAGGTGTTTTTTTAGTCTCATTTTTTTATTCGTCCTTGTATGGTGGTGGTGGGGGAGTGTTTCCTTGGCGTGGTGTGTGGGTTTCTAGTGTTCCATCGAAGGTGGCTTTCTTTGTGTGGACAACAACTTTTGGTCGGATCTTGACTATTGATAATTTGATTTGTCGGCATCATATTCTGGTTAATTGGTGTTGTGTGTGTTATGCGAATGCAGAGACAGTAGACCATTTGCCGATTCATTGTCCGGTTGTATCTTGTTTGTGGGTGCTTGTTTTCTCTCTGTTTGGTGTGGCGTGGGTTCAACCGAGGCAGGTTATGGATGTGTTGCGTTGTTGGGAGGGTGGTCGAGTTGGGAAGCGGCGGCGGCGGGTGTGGGCGTTGGCGCCTTTGTGGTTGGTGTGGTTGGAGCGGAGTTGTCGGATCTTTCAGGGAAGCGCTCAGTCCTTAGCCCATTTAGAGTCTCGATTCCTGGGTATATTGTATAGCTGGGTGTTACGACGAGTGAATCGTGATTTATTTGTTCTTTTAGACTTTGTTGATGCTATAGTTAGTTAGGCCCCTGCTCTTCGTAGGGTTGGTTTTGTATTCTTTTCGCATCTTCTTGATGCTATGGTAATAAAAATTCATTTATCCAAAAAAAAACGAATCTATACTATGTTTCAATGTTTGATCCTTAGTATGCATATGTATGAAAAAAGAAGCTCTGTTCTTACCGTACTTAAATGAGAAATTGATACAATTCCATAAGGTTTAGATCATGGAAATGAAGACGAAAACCATGGTGAATAGAAAATAAGCTCAAGAAGTAGTTGGTGCATCTTGGTTGTCAGACTCTTGTCTGAGGCTCTTGTTACGCGCAAGTTCAACCATGTTGCGTTCTCCACAAGCAAGACTACCTGTGCATTCGTGTAATTTTGACCTTCGTGTATTGTATTTCTTAATTTATTGGGATTATGTTCCCGTGTTTTGACAGCTGGGATTATACTCCCATCCGACTTAAGTGGACATCCCATTGCCCCAAAAATCTGAAGCTGTCAGGGTGGAAGTAGCCAGAGGCCAATGCTTGCTTGTAGTCTAAGAAGCACAAACAAGGACATGTGACACAACACGACATGAAAATGGGACACGGAAATTTTTAAAAATGCAAGACACCACATGTGGGGGACACAAAATATATAGTAGTTTTATGTATTTAGTATATCTCATATACATAAGCATTTTATTCAAAAATAATAAACAAATGCACCATAACACTAATTCTTAAAGTTAGGAGGGATTACTAGTTTTAAATCTACATTATTTTTCTTTCATCATTGTATCATCTAAGTTATTTTGCCCAACCTAATAAGGTTTTTCATTTTTGTTCGCACTTCTGCACCACCATTATCATCAATGGTTATGATACTACATGTAGATCCCTTTATGATGATCAGTTAGCAATAATTTCTCCCCTATAAGATGAATATCAAGAGAATAAGATTTATGTGTTCCCTTTGAAGAACAATTTGCTTTCAGCGTTGCCTGGCACAAAAGAAATTTTGAGGATCATCTAATATCCACTTCCCTTGAGTCTTAAATATTTGAAGAATTTTGTCTCCAAGTCAATTTCTTGCCTGTTCAGTTGAGCTTCATAGAAAAGTATTTGCTTCCTTTTTACATACATGATTTGTTTAGTTTCATGAGCCATGCCACACGGTTCTATGCTTGTCAGAAGTGTTGGCCCAAGACACTTGGCAACATTATTGATTACAAGTAGGAATGTCGATGCAATTTCTATGCTCTCTTTTTGCATGCCTTTACCTAAAGAATGAATTATAGAATTTCTCTGCTCTCTTCATACATGCCTTTACCTAAAGAGGAAGAAACTTGGGACTTTAGTTTGCACTTGGTGGTACCTGAACTTTGCTGGACTCTATTTTCTTTGAATAGATTGCTTGTAACTGTATACATATATATTTCTTTCACATTCAACTTTTTTTTAATTTGCTTGTTGTTCTGTGATTTTGTGAATCCTTTCGTCATACTTTATAACCTTAGCATTGGAGTTTTGTTGTGTCAGGGTGAAGAAGTGACATTTGATTATAATTTTGTACGGGTGTTTGGAGCTGCTGCAAAAAAATGCGTCTGTGGTTCATCTCAGTGTCGGGGTTATATAGGTGGTGATCCACTAAATACTGAAGTAGTTGTTCAGTGTGATCCAGATGAAGAATATCCTGAACCTGTAATGGTTTATAGAAATGGTAAACCTGACTATAAATTGAAAAAATTATTATCTTCAACCAGTTCCTCTGAGAGTACAGAAGTGCAAATTACAGACCATACAATAGGAAACAAAGATAAGATGGACAAGTCTGCAACTGCTGTTGGGCACTTGGAGATTACCACAGAACTACAAACTGCAGAGATACTGGTAAAAGATGAAACTGATAAATCTGCAACTGCTGTTCAGCACTTGGAGATTCCTACAAGAAAGTCCTTGAACAAATCTGCATCTGGTGAATGCTTGCAAATTTCTTTGGCAATGGATAACTCAGTGGAAAAGCTACCACCTTCTGTTCAACAAGTTGTAACTTCTTCACAACTAGATGACATGATGGGAAAAACCATTTCTAATGCTAAGCAAGAGTTTGTTCAAAGATTAGAGACTTCTGCACTGATTGTCATTAGCAACAAATCATTATCTAATACAATTGATGCTAAGAAGAAGTGCAACTCTGACATAATTGAAGACCGGTGTGCTTCAAAGTCATATCCTCTCATGAAAACTTCCCGCTTGTCTTCTTCGGTTAAGAAGGGAAAGTTGAACAGTAATTCTGTGAATGTTCATAAACCCGATATGATGGTTAACAAATCTCCTGTGCTACCCTATAAACCCAAAAGGATAATGGAAGGTTCTCTAAATGGTCGTCTTGAATATGGTATGCCCATTTTCTGTCATCTTCTTTTTTTCTTTATTAAGGATGTTACATAAAAGGAATTGCAACAATGTTGTTTTGTCCCTTAATGGTTGTAGTTGAGGAGACACTAAATGGGTTGCTAGATGCTGATGGGGGAATAAGCAAAAGAAAAGTAAGCAGTTTTTTGCTCATGTATTAATGAACCTATTTTTCTTTTTCTTCTTTTTTATCCTTTTCTTTTTCTGAGACATTGTTTATGGATTATGGAACTCCCGAAGTTATATGTTTGTGTGCATCATATTGTTATGTGCTTTCATGTGCTTTTTGACAGTTGTGAGTCCAAAAATTCAGAGGTCATTTTACTAAAAAAGTACTTCCAGTTTAGTCTCCATTGAATGTGGGGTGAAATGTTGTTTTACTAATCCAAAAAATATATAAATGAAAGTCAGATGTTGTAGATCTTATTGCAGGTGCATCTTATTATCATTCTTCACTGTTCCTTTCTGTTAAAATTCACCTACTCTCCACCTACTTCACCCACTTAAACCTACTCCACTAAACCTAACCCACTACACCACTACCACCTCACCTACTCCACTAAACCTAACCCACTACACCACTACCACCTCCACTTCACCAACTCCTTACCTACTACACACTCACCCTCTTCTATATATAGGAATCATGAATCATTGTAAAATAAAATCAATAACATTAATATCAATCAATAATACAATTCTCTATTTCTCTTTATACATTAAATTTTCTACATGGTATCAGAGCAAGGTTAAGAACTTAGTGATTCCGCTTCACCGGCGGGCGGCAGCCTCGCCTTGGCCGTCCGCCGGACAAACCCAAATTTTCTAATTCTCTCTCTCCTTCCTCCATACTTTTCACCCACATACCAGTGCACAAAAACCCTCTTCGCATACATCAATTTTAACAGGTGGCTTCGCATTGGCTCCTGGCGCATCAACCCAACTCCCCGCTCCACCGGGTTGGTCGGGCAGATTTTGGGCCCGAACGGGCTGCAACTTCGATTCCTCCAGCACCGGCAACTGCTCCACCGGCGATTGAGGAGGCCAGCTTCGGTGCTCCGGCGGCGGCGCTCCGCCTGTCAGCCTTGTCGAATTCACCCTCGGAGACAATGGTAGAGGAGCAATGACTAAAAAAAAAAAGGAGACGAAGATAGAGAGGAAGAGGGCGGCTCTCTCTCTCTCTCTCTCTCAGTTCGTAGTTGGAACTGTGGGTAACTGAAGGACCAAAAAAAAAAAAAAGGGAGAGACTTTGCAGAGAGAGATGGCGATCCAATGCCCTCCGGCTTTCTTTGCTCTTCTATAGCTCTCTCTGCTTGTTTGTCGTTGTTGCTTTAGCTGAAGACCCATTTCTGTTCTATGGTTGGACTGTCTCCTATACCACTGCCTCTCCACTTGGTGTTAAACAACAGAGAGGGTGACTCAATCTCTCTCTCTCTCCTATCATACACAGATAACCACATTGTTTTTCTTCTCACTACTCACCCCATGTGATCCACTCTACCACAAACAAATAAAATAAATAAATCAATCAGCAAATGCATTGAACTTCCTCGGGCCACCCAATTCCCTATTCTTATTATTATTATATATATACTTTTCTCTTTTCTTATTTATTTATCATCACACCAACTTTTGTCCCCCTCTTTTCATTTCTTTATTATTTTTTTTTTCTTTTACTCACCCATGTGACCCACGATGTTCCAACCTATACTTTTTCTTTTCATTACACTCTTGTTCCCCACTTTCTTTATTATATATATATAATTATATTAAAAAAAAAAAAAACATCATCATCTCTCCTCCGTTTGATTTCCAACTCCATTATTTTTATTTCTTTTCTCCACACCACTTTCCTTATTTCCCCCATCTTTCATTTTTGATTTCAAATATATTTTTATTATTTTTTCTTTATTTTTCTTTCACATTACTTTTAATCTTTTTCCAATTCCATTCATACCATACAGCTTTGCACACCAAACCATATTTTATTCATCTCAGGGATCCACCTCGATCACAATTTTACACAAAACAAAAAAACAAAAAACAAAAAAACAAAAAAACAAAAAAAACAACAACAACAACAACAAACCACCACACAACACCAACAGCTTTGTTTTCTTTTCTGCAGCCGGCCACCAACCGACCTCACTTCTTCGCCTATTCCGCCGGTCTTTTCTTCTTGCCTCCGTCTTGGGCAGCCCTTGCCGGTGTTGCCTCCGTGTTTCCCACTCCATTGGGCATGATCACTACTCCCTGCTCCTCCACTGCAGCATATGGCGGACCTCCAAATCGGAACATCACGGTGGCCTTCCGCTTCAGCTCCTTGTTTTCTGCCCTTAGCACGCTTATCTCTGCTCGATACATGCGCTGGAGCAGAGCCAGTTGGGAGTTTAACTGTTGCACCTCATTTGTCCTGCTCTGCAGCCGGTGCGACAAATTTGTGACCGCAGTCATGGTTTCCACGCATGACTTCAGAGTATACTGATTGGCCTCAATATCAGTTTGCACCGCCATTTTTTGCTCCACCGACCGCATCGAAAAGTTCAACGGAGCAAAACCAGAGGTGTTTGGTTGAGGTTCACTGGCCACCGCACCAGTTATTTCTCTTGTGGACTCGTTCAGTTCTGGAAAGAGCGTGAGCAGACCACGGGAAGAGGAGACCATGTTCTGGGTAGCTGGACGGGAAGAAGAGGCCATGTTGCTGAGTGTTTCAGAGACGGGTTGGTTACAGAGTATTACAGAGTTTCTCTCTCAGAAGTGACCCCCTTCCAGTTACCCATGCGCTGGAGCAGAGCCAGTTGGGCGTTTAACTGCTGCACCTCATTTGTCCTACTCTGCAGCCGGTGCGACAAGTTTGTGACTGCCGTCATGGTCTCTACACAGGACTTCAAAGTATACTGATTGGCTTCAATGTCAGTTTGCACTGCCATTTTTTGCTCCACAGACCGCATAGGAAAGTTCAACGGAGCAAACCCTGGGGCGCTTGGTTGAGGTTCACTGGCCCCCGCACCAGTTATCTCTCTTGTTGACTCGTTAAGGTCTGGAAAGAGAGTGAGCAGACCACGGGAAGACGAAGCCATTTTCTGGACAACAGAGTGTTACAGAGTGTCTCTCTCAGAAATCTCTCTCAGAAAACAGAGTGTTACAGAGTATCTCTCTCAGAAATCTCTCTCAGACAACAGAGTATCTCTCTCAGAAATCTCTCTCAGAAAACGAAGAATTTTTCAGAGTTTTTCTAGCAGGTTTTTGTCTCTGCTTCCCAGCCTCAGCCTCCGCTTCGATTTATAAAGACCATGACAAAGAGGCCGACACGCGTTCTGTCGATCATGTGCATCGCCGCGTGTTTGGCGCACCTTTTGATGGCACGCCTTTTTATGGATTGGGCACGCCTTTTGATGGCACGCTTTTTGAAAACATGGGCACGCCTTTTGATGGCACGCCTTTTTATGGATTGGGCACGCCTTTTGATGGCACGCCTTTTGAAAGATTGGGCACACCTTTTGAGGGTGCGACTTTATAAGGGTCCGACAAGACTCTGTAAACTGTCCCGACATTGATTCCGGTTAGCTCCTTTATGGGTCCGACAAGACTCTGTAAACTGTCCCGACATTGATTCCGGTTAGTTTCTACAAGGGTCCAGCAAGACTCCGTAAACTGTCACCACAACTGTCACAACATTGTCTGCTACAACGGTCCGACATGACCCCATAAACTGTCTTCTACATGGTTATGACACCACCATACAGTGTCCTCTACATGGTTATGACACCCCCATACAGTGTCCTCTACAACGTTATGACACCACCATCCAGTGTCTTCACCAATGGTCTGACACGACCATACAGTGTCTCTTATCCTCTTTTATTTTTATGTATTTTCTTGTTTTGTTACTCTCTCCAAACTCAAGTTGGTTAGTTCCTATCCCCCTTGAGTTTGCGGGGGGCTGTTAAAATCCACCTACTCTCCACCTACTTCACCCACTTAAACCTACTCCACTAAACCTAACCCACTACACCACTACCACCTCCACTTCACCTACTCCTTACCTACTACACACTCACCCTCTTCTATATATAGGAATCATGAATCATTGTAAAATAAAATCAATAACATTAATATCAATCAATAATACAATTCTCTATTTCTCTTTATACATTAAATTTTCTACACTTTCTTCCCTGTTTGTGTTTATTTTTATATTGGGTCAATGTATTCCTGTGCATTTTCATGGTAGCTTCTCTTCCATGAATTTCTCTAGAAATATCAATGTTAAATTTATGTTATTTGGGAAACTTCATTTTTATCAGAGGAATCTGGTTGTTAAATGATTGAACAACCAGAAGCAATTCTTCAATTTTTGCATTAGTGCTTTTTCTCAAGTATTTTACGCTGTGCAACTGGCACTTGTGTATCCTTATTTGCTATCATGTTTGATGCATGTCTAATGACATGGATTCAATATGTTTAAATATATCTTATTTTTTCAACAGGATGCCTCCAAAGGCTACTTGATGCTTCTTCTTCAAACTGCAACTTCTGGTGATAGTGGCAATGGTGAAGCAATTCAAAGGTTATCTTTTATCTTGCTTTGCATTCTGCAATCTTTTCTGATAATTTGATTCACTTACTTAAGTTCAGATGACTCATTGTTTTATTCAAATTATTTGTTGCCTTCATTAATGTATACATTTGATTTGCAGCAATCGAGATCTTTCTATGATCCTTGATGGACTCTTGAAAACAAAATCACGAATGGTTTTGGTTGATATAATCAACACGAATGGTAGTGTTTTCTATATATATATTTTGTTTCATGCAATTTTCTGCTTTTCTGTCATGGATGTAATTAAACTATGGTTTGGACACCCTTTTCATGTAAATGACTTCTGATTTGCTTTCTAGGTTTGCAGATGCTACACAACATAATGAAGCAGTACCGAAGGGACTTCAATAAGATTCCAATTCTTCGAAAGCTTCTTAAGGTATGTGCATTTGCAAAGCTTATAATCCTGTGGCTACTGGTTTTTCATGTTCTGAAAATAAACAACTCAATTGGATATAATTTTGGAATTTGGCACAGCAAGATGCCATATTGGCTGTGTCTGTTAAAATTCAATGTATTATTGATTGTTTTCTGATTGATTGATTTGTTCTAATTTTGGAATTTGGCACAGCAAGATGCCATATTGGCTGTGTCAATGTGTGGAAGTTTAGGTCTTGGAAAGGCTTCCGTTGGGATGAATTTGGAGAATCACCAAACTAGATGTGACTGCAGTGAGTTGTTGAAAATAAGATAATGAAATTGTCTATCATCTTGAGAGAGTTTTGTTGGTTTTTGTTGGGATTAATACCAGCATAAATAAGTTATATAGTTTTTGATTTCTTTTTCTGAAGTTCAACCAATTCTTAAATGGGTTCACAGTAAATGAGCCATAATTATTTCCTACTATGTTTTCAAATTGCAATTGAATAGCTACAATTGGAACCTATTAGCAATCTGGAAGAAAATGCAGCAACTTCTTTATGGTTTTCTGTGCAGGTTTTAGAGTACCTGGCTGTGAGGGAGATACTTACATTGGAACACATTACTGGAGGCCCCCGTTATCCGGGGGTGGAGAGGTTAGAAAATCTTATCAACCAAGTTTTTATTGAACTGCTTCGCTTTTTTTATATCATTTGTTCTCTTTGAATATTTCTGAGTCGAGAGTATCTGTGCTTCCTCTCTCTTTGCATGGTATTTTTCTTTTTCTTTTTGCTATTTTTTAGTTTGTTTTGGTATTTTTTAACTGTTATCTGTTACATATACATGTTTAGTTTATTCCTTGAAATCCTGCTCTCTCTCTCTCTTGTAGCTGGTGTTTCCAACTGATCACACACTTATAATTTACAATCGAATGTTCACTTGTTCTTATTATATTTTTTTTGATAAATAAAATAAACTTCATTGCGGAAGCATCATGATGCAAAGAATACAAAACTGCAAAGGAGACTACCAAAGCCTAAAAATCTAACAATTCAAACAAATCAGGATCAACTTTCTCCGCCATCCAACTATACAAGACTGCAAGAAGACGACTCTCAAGCCACGAAACACTGTGGTGGACCTCTTGAAAAGTTTGCCTATTGCGCTCTAACCAAACCAACCACATCAAATAAAAAGGCACCAAAGACCACACATGCCGTTGACGTTGACCAACCCGAGCTCTACGCCAACTCCCCAACATATTCATGACTCGGCGCGCTTGAACCCAAGCTATCCCAAAAAGAGAGCACATGAGTCCCTACAGACGACTAGCCACCGGACAATGCAAAAACAAATGATCTACCAACTCCGCGTCAGCGCAACACATACAACACCGATGGACTAAAAAATGACCGCGTCGTACTAGATTATCAATCGTGAGATTTCGTCCTAAAGCCGCCATCCACATAAAGAAAACTACCTTAGAAGGATCCCTCGGGACCCAAGTACTCCTCCAAGCAAAATCCCGCCTCACCTCCCCCACCAAGCTTTGGTAGTAAGACGAAACAGAGAAGCTCCCCTTAGTCCCCACAACATTCCACCCTAAAACATCCTCCCCCACCCTAGTCTTCCCCAACCTATACAAGAAATCCCATAAATCTAACAACTGATCCACCTCCCAATCCTGGACCGGCCGTCACAGATGAATATCCCAAATCACCACATCCCCAATCCGCAAATATGATGCCACCATAGCTTCTTGCTCCCCTGCAATTTCGAAAATCAAAGGAAACTGATCTCCAGCAATGCCTCACCACACCATCTATCCTTTCAGAAACGCACCCTCCGTCCATCACCTAGCCCGAACCTCACCCTCTCCCAAAACTCCACTTGATTCAAAGTAATACCATTCCATAAACCACACCCATAAGAACCAACCACCTCCCCTGAACCCCATTCCCTACTACCCAAACCATACTTACCAGCCACCACTAGTCTCCATACCCGGTCTGACTCCAACGCAAAACGCCACAGCCATTTACCCAACGAAGCTTTGTTGAACATAACCAGACTCTGAACCCCCAATCCTCCGACCTCTTTTGGTTGGCAAATCCGCCCCCAATCCACCAAATGGTAATGGAAAGCATCTCCCCCACTGCCCCACAGAAAATCTCGCTGGAGCTTCTCTATCCGCTGCGCCACTGACACCGGAATAACATGCATACTTACCAGCCACCACCAGTCTCCATACCCGGTCCGGCTCTAACGCAAAAAGTCACAGCCACTTACCCAACAAAGCTTTGTTGAATATAACCAGACTCCGGATCCCCACTCCTCCGACCTCTTTTGGTTGGCAAATCCGCTCCCAATCCACCAAATGGTAATGGAAAGCGTCTCCCCCACTGCCCCACAGAAAATCTCGCTGGAGCTTCTCTATCCGCTGTGCCACCGACACCGGAATAACATGCACGGACATAAAGTACGTCGGAATGCTACTCAGCACACTCTTAATCAACGTTAGCCTACCCCCTTTTGAAAGATATTGTCGTTTCCAACCTGCCAGCTGGTGTTGAATCCGCTCCAGCACTCCATTCCATACCCCTTTGGCCTTAAACGTTGCCCCCAGAGGCAAACCCAGATAAGTAGCTGGCAAAGCCGATTCCTTACAACCCAACACCGCCTTTAAAACTGATAATTTGTCCACAGTTCCACCGGGATCATCTCCGACTTCCTCAAATTCACTCGAATGCTTGAAATTGCCTCAAAACATAACAGGACACATCTCAAATAACCCACTTGCTCCGTCACCGGCCAATAAAAGATCAAAGCATCATCAACGTACAGTAAGTGTGAAACAAGAATTGGCGTCCCCGTAATAGGACCCACCATAAAACCCCCCAACAAACCCTCATGTACCGCTTTATCCAACAATCTACTCAACGCCTCCATCACTAAAATGAACCGCAGTGGAGATAGAGGACCCCCTTGACGAAGACCCCTATATAGGTCGGGAAAAAACCTACCGGAGTAACCATTTACCAGAACCGACATCCACACAGTAGAAATACAAAACCAAATCCACTGACACCAAGTCTCTCCAAAGCCCATACGCTCCAAAACATATAACAGGAACTCCCATCGGACATTATCATAAGCCTTCTCAATGTCCAATTTACAAATCAAACCTGGTTGTCCCTGTCGAAATTCGAGAATCCACACATTCATTAGCCACCAACACTGCATTCAGAATCTGGCGACCCCCCACAAAAGCATTCTAGGACTCAAACACCATTGCCTGTAGAACTTGCCGAAGCCTATTTACCAAAACTTTAGCAAGAAGATTGTACACACTACCAAGCAGACTAATAGGCCGAAAATCACGAATATCCTCCGCCCCCCTTTCTTTGGAATCAGAGCCAAGAGTGCGCATTCAAGCTCCTCTCAAAAGGCCCTGACACAAAGAAAGCCTCCAAAGTTGCCATCATATCTGTTCGAACCACACACCAGCAATGCTGAAAGAAGGCCAAAGTAAAGCCATCTGGGCCAGGCGCTTTATATCCACCCATCATCCGCAAAGCCCCCAACACCTGATCTTCGGTAACAGGACGCTCCAAAGCCTCCCTATGGGCCACCGAGATCATATCAAACTAAACCCTGACCATCCTTGGCCGTCATTCCCCTGCTTGCGGCCGAAATAGGTACTGATAAAAACCCACAATCCCCTTCCTGATTTCCTCATCTGTGCCCAAATCTCGACCATCCACCCACAATTTGTTGATCTGATTTACTCAACGATGTGCATTAGCCATCCAATAGAAGAACTTTGTATTCTAATCCCCATCCTTTAACCAAAAACACCGAGACTTCTTCCTGAAACTCACCTCCTCCATACGAGAAATACGAACAAAATCTTCTCTAGCGGCCTCCCTGTAAGCAGTATCATTAGGCAACAAGCCCCCATTAGCCTCTAGCTCATCCAAGGACTGGAGCAAGGACACCACCTCCGCCTTTTGGCCCTCTAACTGACTAAACACCTCCTTATTCCAACCTTTCAGATCCTGTTTAAGAAATTTCAATTTTTGAGCTAACACACTACTAGGTAGACCTATAACCATATAGCTAGTCCACCACCCGCAAACCCTCTCCAAAAAACCATCTGAGTGTAGCCACATGTTCTCAAAACGAAAAGGAGTTGGACCCCTCCGAACCCCCCCACTGTCAAGTAAAATGGGCCAATGATCTAACACTGGGCGAGGTAACCGAAGCTGAATAGCAGCCGAAAAATGCTCCTTCAAACCCGTAGAAATCAAGAAGCGATCAATCTGAGACAGGCTCTGTCCATTCGACCAAGTGAAGCTCCCTCCTTGGAGAGGCAAATCAACCAGCTGCATCTCGTCAATAAAGGAATAAAAAGCCCACATCCACCTCGAGGCACTAGTACTCCCCCTCCTCTCTGCCGGCCATCGCACCATATTAAAATTGCCCCCCACACACCAAGGCTCCGACCAACGACTAGCCACATTTTCCAATTCTAAGAGAACTCACCCCAATTAACATCTTGCACCGGACCATACACCCTAGTTAACACCAACCGAAACTTGTCCTCCACACACACTGAAACAGACAAGACAGAGAAACCGCCCACCTCCTCTTCCTTCTTCACCACTACCTGAGAGTCCCAACATAGAAGGATCCCACCGATTGTACCCTCGGCCGGCAAGTGTAGCCACTCCACAAATCTCCCTCTCCAATATCACTCATCACCTCCTCCCCTAATGCTTCCATCTTTGTCTCTTGTAGACAAACTACATCAGCCCTCGCACTACGCAACACTGCTTTTACTGCCAACCGTTTATCTCTATTATTTAGGCTCCGCACATTCCAAGATAAAATTTTGGTTTTCATTTCAACATAAGCAGTTCGCCACAATTCCTACGAGAAACACGTCCTGTCGTGGACCCGCCATGTTCATAATTAATGGAACATGCCAGATTCTTAAGCTCTCGTATCCCTTTACGACCACTTGCCACGAGAGTGATCACCTCTGCACTAGGAACCCCTTTTCGCAACGACTCCTCACCGTTGAGAAAAGGCGCATGGTCCTCATGCCCTTCGAAAGACAATCCCAATAAGTGACTAACATCACTAATCTATTCCAACACCCAATTCGAAACCTCCTCAGCCGAAGGTACTCCATTCCTGCCCAAATCTTCAACACTGTGGGACAGCTGTGGATGCCGATCTATGAAGATCCTCCTATCACCCTTTTCCACACCTAAAGGTTGCACCGCCATTGACAAGTTGTCCCGACCTTCCACAGACAGCCCATCAGATTGCTCCCATCCAGGTCGAGCCTCTCCATCATCGCAAACTGGAAAGTCAAGCCAGAATCGACACCTATTAGACTCCAAAGGGCACCCCGAGTCATCCACTGTGTCACTAGGCTCACTGTGCACCACCATCTCTAACCCCGACACCACACCTAGCGGCTCTAGTTGCTCCACCACCTCGATAGCAGTATTGACATCACTTGATATCGCCGACACGGTAGACCCAGCCTTCACCAACCACCCATTAGGCCCGATCATCGAGGTTTCCCCAGCCTGTTGCAGTTGTGAACCAGATGCCAAAGTCGTTTCATCCTCCGGTGCCGTTGACCCTGTCAAACTAGCAGTCGGACCATCGGTGGGTAAAGAGAAACCCATAATATGATTCAGGACCTGAAAGACCCGACTTATTGATGGGTCTGCTGCCTGACTTGTTAATGGGGACCTAGACCCACAAGGCCCATGATTCAGCCCATGCCTAAACACATCCAGCGAGGCCACATCTTTGGGCCTTAACAAAGGTAGGCCCAAATGACCTCCCTCCCCAGCCTTAATCGTAGTAGCCTGTATTTGGGCCCTTTTTATTAATATGGGTTCCACTAAGCCCAAACTCGTGGATTGTTTGCCCTGGTCTAGCCCTTTAAAAGTTGACCTTCCCCTATAATTGCGTGGATTTGCCCAAATCGATCCCCCAAATCTCTGCCAATTCTGGCGATTTTGCTGCACCACGGCCCCACTTGCCTTTCTCATCCCACCACCACCACAACGCGTTGTCGTCGGTAACACAAATGCCACCGTCGGCCCTACCTCCGACTAGACAGGCAAAAAGTAACGCCATGAACCCCACCGGATCGAAATCCGTGATGGAATCTTGTCTGGCAGCCCTCGAACCTTTAATTGAACACAACCCAGAAGATCCAACGTCTCATCCACTTTCAGAAAGCCGCCACACCTATTCCCAATGGCTTAGTACCCAGACAACCCACGGAGATGAAGAGGTAGGCCTAACACTTGGATCCATTGACTCTGTAACTTCACTGGCATCAGCTGACGGCAACAGAAAGCTGTTGGTGACCACCAATGCAGAAGAAAATCGCATCCAGCAATGGTCCACTTCCAACGCAATACCAACTCTGCTTCCCGCCTCGACAAGAAGACAAACAAGAAATATTGCCCTCCAACACCTAACACCTCCACCTTCCCCGATGTGTTCCACCAACGGTGCACCCATTCAGTCACAGAGGAAACCCCCAGCCCCTTCTCTCCTTCCTCCCCCACCCTACCCACCAGAGCCCTGTCCAACATGCGAAGCCAGCCCCTTTCTCCTCCTCCTGGTACCACCACATCAGTGCTGTCACCCTCCTGAGATACTGCCAACTGCGTTTGAGACACTTCCTCTGTGGCCGTCCCAATCTTCAACTGCTGCCTACGTTTGGCCCAGCCATCCCCAAAACCAAACCCCTCAATAACCAAAGCAAGCCCCTCCCACCCATCCCCATAACTAGAATCTGGGAAGAAAATCTATTCTCGCTTGGTCCCTGTTGTGGCCACAATCTGCACCGAAGAGCCGCCATATTCCTCCCCTCAGACCCAAACTGCCACAGTACGACAGCCAGCAATAAGTCTACCAAGAAACGCCAACCAGCCTATCTCGCGTGACGCCCGCCGGAGCTTCTCAACAAGCCAACCCACTTCAACACCCCCAATGATTAGTGCCCTCCAAAGCCCCTGTCCACGCTCCACAATTGACAAATGTCGCCGCCCAATCCGATCCTCCTCAATCTCCTCGACTTCAAAAGAACGGCCCCCTAAGAAAAGAATTTTTCGACGAGGGCCGCTTGCCTGCTCTACCGAGAACATTACGTCGGAAATCGCCCCTTATGAACATATATAAGGTTCATTGTTCTTATTATAGTTTTAAGTCATGCTAGTTGGCTCTTGCCAACAATCGCTGTATTACAGTTTTCAGACACTGCTTTCTTCTCTTAAAGTTCATTTAATTTTCTTTGTGAGTGTGCAATTTATATTGGACTTGTGATTTGTTTATCTATTCCTGAGATGCGTGCTTCTGTGCAGCTTTAGGGAATCAATTTTGATATTGACAGAACATGATGACAAACAGGTACTATATACCTTTGAGCTGTCTCCATCATGCATGTAGTGTGCACCCATGTTAGTCACTTCTATGTACTTCATGCTGAAACAATATCTGATTATTGCTCTGTGGAAAGAAGATACCTACGATACTGATATGTCCATTCTCCTATACCCTCTTTTAAAAGATTCTGATAAGAATAGGATGTTACTTTATCTGTCTATTAAATCATCATGGTTCAAAAATATGCGGCAGTGTGGCACATACAATCTTTTCATGTATCTATTGATTATATGACTGCCCTTGATTGATCCTAATTAGCATGTGCCTTACTTGTTTGTCAGGCTAATTGATTTGGGTTGAAACTAAAAGGATCCTAATAGTCTGCCAACTTTGATGCGGTCTCTTTGTCCATTTTCATCAACTATCATGCCATGGAGCCATGTTCCACTTTTACTTGTGGTCTTTTGCTCTTTTTTTTGGATATATTCTTTTCATGGAAACAAAAAATCATAAATTAAAAAAATTAAGTATGAGATGCTGGATGGAAAATCACAAAAGATCAAATAGATTCATTTCTGAAAACATCAAAACTTCTTACCTGACTCTTACAAGACTTTTGAGTGCTGATTCCCTTCTTAGCCAAGTAATCTGCTTTTGCTTTTCCTATGCTAGGAACCAATTTGCTTGCTGCAATTTTTGTGTGATCTGAGTCCATTTTTAATTTTTTCATCAATGACTATATTGTGACAAACCAGTAAATGAAATCTCCCCAACAAGCTACTATATTAATTTTTTCTTAAATCATATATTGTATATTGGTTGATATGCCATCTTGAAGCCTCCTTGGGGACCTTTGATAGTGTTAGACCCTCTCCATTACAAAGAACTCAATTATAGCCTGTTCAGAAAAAGCCTGACTTGTATCATCCGAATCCCAGGAGGATCTCTGAAAATTAATCCTGTTCCTAGTCGTCTCGGATATCCAATAGTGCATACATAAAAAATAGACTTAATTCTTCCCATATCAGTTTAGGTCTTCCCCTCACACTGATCATATTACTCTTCCTTACCGTGGCATCTACATGTATTTGTTGTATATGGCCAAACCATTGTACATGTTCTCTATTTAACTTATCTTCAATTGGTAATACTACTACTTATGGCCAAACCATGGATATATTTATTTCCAATCCGATCTTTCCTAAATTTACCACACATTAGCATCCTTATCTTAGCTATACTCGTTTTATGAACATGTTTCTTAGTTGTCCAACATTATATCCTTGTAACATGTGGACCAAAAAAATTGGTTAATAGCTTCATGGTGCTCTCTTAAGCATGATGTTCAGGTTCGAGTCTCACTGTTGCAAGTTGTAGTTTCCCTTTCCAAAGAAGAGAAAAAAGAAAAAAGACTAGGTGTCTTTCCAACTAACACACATCTGTGAATTTTTTTTTGTGAGGCCGTCTATGATTTGGCATCCTATTGAGCCAATTGCTCTAGTGCACTACTAACCAACCAAATCTTTGATCTTTACATCAATAGTAACCTTTCTTATCCTGGTAGCTAGAATGAATTGCTAAAAAATATTAGGCTGTGTTTGGTTGTGTTCTCAAATCATGATTCTACACCTTGATTCAAGTATGATGTTTGGTTGGAGTTTTGGAATCACATTTTCAAAACTCTGCAGAGAGCTCTGTCTTAGCTGCGCTTTTCAGAATTTTTTTTTTGAAAATTTTGCCTAAACGGTCGTCTGGCCGGTTGACCGGAATAATGATTTTTTTTTTTCAATTGATATGTTAATTTTTATATAATCGAAAAAAATATTTTCTGAAATTTTTTAAATTTTTTTATGTGCTTTAAAATAATTTTGAGTTGTATGTTTAGTTATGAGTTATAAATTTTTGTATCAAATATCAAATGTCACATCAACAATTCCCCACTCAAATCAAAACTCTTTTCAAAACTATTTTCAAAACTCTTTACCAAATAAATTTTCTACACTCAAATCATAATTCCAAACCCCACAAACTCAAAATACAACTCATACTCTCAAATCATAATTACAAAACTCTACCAAACGCAACCTTAGTCTTCTTAACTTTATCCATTTCTTGCTTTCTTCCATCTTTCTTTCTATCTTTCTTTTTTTCTTTTTCTTTACTCTTTTTTTCCTATTATATATTGCAAAATTTTCTGTCAACCATAGCTGTCAAATCGAGAATAGTATCATGAATTGCAATCCTAATTTTTTGAATCATGAGTCAAATAGAATCGAGAATAGTAAAATTTAGCACAAATTCTTGTATAACAAAGTGATTGCACCCTCTAATATTCATTATTTTTCTCTCCTATACCTTGAAGTTTGCCTGCATGCTAGTTGTGATCAGAATTTACAACGGATGTGTACACCTTATACTATTTTACCCTTCGTTTTGCTTTCTCTTTTTTATTTCTGAATTATCTTGATTTTTTAGTGATTGTAGATTTCCCCATGTAGTTCCCCTTTCTTTCCACAATTTTTTCTCATAGAAAGTATGAATATTGGCTGAACATGTTTTCTTGAATAAAGATTTGAGTTTTTAGATATCATTTTATTGCACAAACAGGTCCATCAAATTGCAAGAAACTTCCGAGATAGGTGGATTCCTAGGTCTGCCAGACATATCAGCTGCCTGGACAGGAGTAATGGCAAGGTGGAATTTCACTGGGGTTCAAACTGTAATAGACACTCAGCATCACAGCGTGATCAAGGTGTAAAAACTATAGAAGCAATAAATTGCATCAACCAATCAATTGTTGCAACAAATTCAGTTAATACCAGTACCCTGGAAAGCTGCTCTGCACCTCCTGGCAGTGATCTCCAAACCAGTGGGACAAAAACTCGCAAGCGAAAGAGTCGATGGGATCAGCCAGCAGAGACAAAGACATATGTAAGATCTCCTCAGAAGAAGGAACCAAAGATTGAGCCTAGTTTGTTACAACAATCGCATTCAGGTCCACCACTTGAGATTGGTAAAGTTGCATGTGATGGACCTCAGCAGATGGAAAATAGGGGAGATGATGAGGAACAGAACATTGATGAGGATGTTGATGTTCCTCCTGGATTTTCACCACTTGCTGATGTGCCTCCCGGATTTTCACCTCTTCTTGATGTTCCTCCTGGATTTTCACCTCTTCTTGATGTTCCTCCTGGATTTTCACCTCATAATGCACCTTCAGTTCCATCGAATGCTTTAACTGTTACTGATATCCTCCGAGAAAATGGTACTCCTGCAAAGTGTCCTTTTGAAGCAGTTGCGGGACATCCGCACGGAAAGTTCGGTAATCGTTTGCCCGTCTCTTATGGGATTGCATTGCCTCTTGTGCAACAATTTGGGACACCTCAATCAGAAAAAACCCTAGAGAGTTGGGTTATTGCTCCGGGCATGGCTTTCCGTCCTTTCCCACCTTTACCCCCACGTCCCCAAGCCAAGAGAGAAGCTTGTGCTGGTGACACAGTGACAAAGAATAAACCTACCATTTGTCACTCTAATCAAAACCATCCGAGCACTTCTGGTGCGAGCCGACCTTATGTGGAGTTTCAAGGTGGAAATATTCAACATTCTGTTCAACCAGTAAGGAGTTCCTATGGTTTGGAAAGGAGGTACCCGAGGCAGCAGGAGTGGAATAATTCGAATTTAGAACAGCCCTGGATGTGGAATAGAAATGGTGGGGGATTCATGGGAAATGATTTAAGAAATGGGATGTGCAGCATAGGTGTAGCAACCGTGGCGAATGGGTTTGAAGGTCCAAAATTTTTACAAGATTTAAGGACTGGAGTGCAAAATACTTACAATACTTTTCACCTTTATCCGCAACAGCAAAATTAGGATCGGTTTATAGGAAAAACTCTTGAGGAGCTTCTAAATTTTCTCCTGTGCTCCCCTCTGATATGCCTCCGATTCTTTGTTGGCTTTTACAAACAGTTGAATTCTAGTTTCCAACCCCCCCAACTTCCCTTCCTTTTATGTTACAAGTCCCCAGTATTTATAGCTGCAATGAGGTCATTTGGATTTGGAAACTTCCACCTCAAAGAAGGAAAAGTGTTTTTTTCATTATGTTTCATTATTTGAATAAAAAATGAAATTGACAAATAAAGCATTGATCTGCGGTGGCCTCCATGGATTTGGTGTGTTTTGATTTTACTATATTATGCAGGATTGTTTTTGAAGATACTCAACCTCATTGGGAGTGCATTTCCGATCTTATTAAGGTTAAAGTGGCAATATGGGTCAAGGCCAAGTCCAATTTGAGGATTACTCCATGAATGATGTGGTTATCATTTACAGAAGATTAGAGATTGTTTTTAGTTGTCTTGAGTCAATATGGAGTGCAAATTTTATTCTGTTGCTTTCTTTCTGGTTCGGTAATTGTTTGGGTTGCTGATTGGTATATTCCGGGGTTTCATTTACTGGTTCAAAGTTGCTGCATAATTTTGTTTGGGCTGAGTTTCTTCCTATCCCGTCGTGAGATATTGTTCTCTTGAATTGTAGTTTGCTCCTTTTGGCTTATTTATTTATTTTTAATGTTTTCTGCTGCTAGGTTGGTATATCTTACCAACTTCCTTTACTGAGGTGTGTGCTTGCACATGATGCTGCGAGTCTTCTTGTGCCCTTGTCTTCATTCTGATGCGACCTTTGTTTTCCATTATTTCATCAATGAATTCGTTTTTGCTAATTAAAAAAAAAAAATGTATGTAAATTTATGGGATGCATTTAAATTTCTTCTGCAAATGAGACTCGGCATTTTCAAAGTATAGTGCTTGTAGTTGGCAAATTGAGTCTCTTAAGATGATTTGGGACTTAGCATTTTGCTTGTGAAAACTAAAATAGCATCTTTTAGTGGTATGGTATTTTTTTTAATGTTATTTTAGCACAATAAAAATGTACTTCAATTAAATTTATTATACATCGGTCCAATGTAGTTGTATTTATTGTGTTAAAATAGTAGCGTGTCCTAACAATATATTGTGTTGGAATAATGTTATATGCACCAATTAATGTACACACTAGTATGCTAACAGATGATGTGACATCATTTGTATGATTTGGAGTATTTGTAACTTGTGTAATAAATGTAATCAATAATAATATCATAACACTAGTTGGTACATGTAAGAGCATCTCCAACGGTTAACCTAATATTTCACCAAATTTGAGTTAAAAAATGACGATTTCCTGAATTTGATACTTCACACTCCAACGGTTCAGCTTCATCAAATATCAGTCAGGACAACTGGATGGTCGACCTGATGGTCGACCGGGTAGAGGAAATTTTTTTTTTTTTTTAAAAACCTTTCTGAACCAACAACTGAACTGTTTGAACCGACCAAGTGAACTGACGGATGTGAACCGGTAGGGGGCGACCAGTTGGTTGACCAGCCGGTCGACCGGTAATCTTTAATTTTTTTTTTCTTTTTTGATTTCCCTCCGTTTCTGTTCCTAATTATTTTGCTATTTCTTTTTCCCTCCATTGGTTTACCAAAATCTCATATAAACACATTATTATTTATATGCCAGAGAAGGATCATATCTTACACAACTACACAAGGATCATATCTTAAACAAAAACAGAGGGTAATGGATACTTTGAAATCCATAATATTTACTTCATTTTCATCCTCTTCTTCTTCCTCCTCCTTTGATGAGGAGTCTGATGATGAATATATGATTACACTTTTAGCAGCTTATGAGCAGAATACCAGTAGTATGGTTCAGATTCATTTGGACGGCTATTGATATACTCATCTTGCAAATTCAACAGCTCTAATCGCGCCAGCACTGGAATGAACATAACATCAGCCATAGTAAACTCTTCCCCAACTAAATACAATGTTTCGCTCAGTTTTGTCTCTGCTTCATCAAGAAGGCTTACCAGATGTTTCTTGCTTCGTCTCAGAACTTCTGGGTTTTTCAACTTGTCTTCTGTTTCGTATTCATCTCTCAGCTTACGGTGGTAAGCACTTGCTAGATCAGGAAATTCAGACATCCGGGCAATTACCACTCTCCGCATGAATTTAGAAATAAAAAGGCGGTACTTCTCAGGGATGTGGGAGAGTGTGAAGAACTTTGGGTTCCACTCTTGTATCTTATTCATCCATTCAACAACTTCTCCACTGCTGACAGTGATTTTACCGCCGCCTGATGAGACAACAGCAATTCTTTCTATATACCTGTACAATTTGATATCACTTAAAAAATCTCCCTTCTATTGTAAAATTGTGTTCGGAAACAATTTCAAGGACTTGTGCCTTCTTACACTACAAGAACATAAGGAGTGAGTAAAAAAGAAAACATTCTGTTTAGAGATTTAAGACTTAATTCATATTTTGATAATTCACCCTGTGTTTCCCACAGCTTTTGCACTCTGTTTGGGAACCTAGGGGAGAAAATAAAGGATTACACAAGTTAAAAGGAGAGAAAGAAAAGAAGAGAAGGTTGTGTGGGAAATTCTATTTCCACACACCAGTTATTCTCTATCAACACACTTAATGAATTTTTTTTTTTATTACATTTTTGTCTTAAATGAAATTACCAAAATATCCCTTTCTCCTTCAATCAAAACCCTAACCCTCAATCAAAACCCTAGCCACTACCTACTACTAGTAGCCATTGACAACAATTAAAAATAAAGAAGATAAGAAAATAATGGAGTTATAGAACCAATTATTTGTGAAACATTTTAGAATTCTAAGAAAATATTATGGGGTCTGTTTTATATTTAACGTAATATGTCTTTGTAATTCTATGTACCGTCTGCCAAACAATATTTTGGATTATCACATGGAAGGATTGGTAATTGATAAGCATAAAAAGGGAGCATGGGATGTGGTATTGACTTTTGGCTATGTGAAGAAATCACATGGACATTGTTAGTTCAAAAGAAGGAAGAGCACCTTGTTTCTTGATAAAACAGTGTAGATATGACTTTTCTTTAGTGATCTACTGGCATGCTTAAGGTAAGTAGAAAGAAATATGTAACTTAATTTAGTAAATTAGTGCCCACGAGGTGGTTGTTGGCTAGGGTTAGAGTTTAGAAGATGAAGAAAATAATGGTGTGTACACATTTTTTATTAAACAGGTATATTTGGAATGTGGGGTGTGTGGATTGAGATAAATACCTAAAAATCAAATTACCAAGTGAGTGGAGTGAGAAAAGATGTGTACAGAGATAATGTGGTGTGTGGAAATAGAATTTCCCATATTGTGTTTTCTATCCTCTTGTTTCGATAATAAACTACACAAAAATAAAAATAAAAGAAATTATTTTATGTTATATTACCAAACTAACCTTTTATAGGTGCCAGTTTTTTAATTTCTATATGTAAAGGGACAGTTTGGGTATTATGAAAAATAGCATTTGTTGGTTTCTTTTCTCTCCCACTCTCTCCACTTTTGCAGAGATTCAACATAAGGGTTATAAGAGAAATGTGTCTCTCCATGTCACCCCATTTATCTCCTCTTTACTAATCCAAACAGGTGATATAAACAAAGAGAAATGCATTTCTTTTCTTTTCTTCCCAAATCACCAAATACAAACGGGCTGTTAAATATGATGCTGGAAATCATTCAAATGGCCATCATAATTCGTTGAAGTTTGAAATTGCTACCAAGCACAAGACCAAATATTCTAGATAAAAGTAATTGCCAAGTATTGAGTAAAGGATAAGGCATACTGGATTATCTCCGCTGTGTTGAATATAATGTGTTCGCCATTCTGGAAAACAGGAAGCTTGGCACTAGGGTTCATCCGGAAGAATGAGGAGTCCATGTTCTTGCCCGTGAGAGGATTGACATGGTATGATGTATAATCAACGACCCTTTCTTCTAAAGCAAGCCTTACTTTTTGGCTATCCAGGGAATATGGGTGATGATATAGTTGCATGACTTTATCAACATCAGCTCTTGGGATGTTGCTAGTAGTACGAAAAGTGAGGAGTTTTCATATCAACAATCAAGTTCTATTACTCTGAGATTAAGAGAACTTATTGAGGCCTGCACCTGAATTGCAGAAAAGGGGCTTACAAGCATTCCTTAGAATCATGAAAAAATTCTCATTTCCCACAAAAGTAAATAATTTAAACAACGTACATTCTACACAAAATTAATAACCAAGCCCAGAGCACCCCCCAAAAAAATTATGGTCATACAAAGCACAGTATAAAATAGAGATAAGAGGTTGTATTCCAAGGGTAAAACTTTTCCACTTTGACTGGTAATCATTCACTTTCTAACCACAGATCACGCTAGTGGCAGTGACCTTTCCACATAAAGCTAACAGAGAAGTGGCCTAAGCAGAGAAAGGATTCTTTTCTCGGATTCAGACAGTGGGTTTAGCAAAGAAAACCCCAAAGGATGTAAATATTTTTCGCTCAGGTGCTATGTTCATCATTAGAGGCACAACCTTTTTCAAGGAGCATAATATGCATTTGTTACAGAGGGTTTTGTGAGTCAAAGATCATGCTATAATCTCCACTCTTTCTCATCCAAAACTGCATACATGGGCTAAAATCCAGTCTCTAACAATAGCTATTTATCCCAATTTCTTTCTACTCTTTCGGATGGAATTATACACTTGTTAGCAATTTCTATATATCACTCAATTAAAACTTGCACGATTAACTACATACAGAAAAACACTCGCACAAACTAAACTTCTGATAAATCTGCAATGACTACCCCTTATGTTGCTAACAACTTTCCCAATCAATAATAATAATTAAACGCTGGCACAATTCAGAAGAAGTAAAGAAATTGATAAATTGATGACGCCGATTCATCTTCATCCCACGGTGTGTATATGTGCAAAGTTTCTATAAACAAAAGTAATCCCATATAAACAAAATAAAAAAGTAAAAGTCTATCACTCACAAGACTACCACTTCTCTGTTAAGGGTAAGTAACCATCTGAACAATTCAACTTGTTACAACTTTTGATTGGAATTGGAATTCAAGACCCATAAAGTGCCCAAACGCAACAATTACACTTAAACCCTCTGAGGGTTTACAGTTAAAGCCCTTATAATCATAAAGATCAAAAAACTTAAATATTAGATCAAAGCCAAATCCATAGCAGAATCCCAAACCAATTTGCAGAATTTAATCATTAGAACAAACCATCACAAATTGAAGCAAGTAGTCCAACAAAAATTAAATATTAGCAGATGTATATGACTAATTTTATTAATGCTAAAAAGGGATTCGTTTGAGGCTTACCCAGAATTAGAAAACTTGTTGAGAAGTTGTACCCGGGCGTTTCAGGGATTTGTGGTTTATGGAGATTTAGGAGACACATCACATGAAAGAAAAAGAAAGAAAGCAACCCTTTTTGTGGTGGAAAATGAAAAAAAAAACGTTTTAGAAAGAGAAAGTTTAGAGAAAGAGAAGAAGCTTTGAGGAGATTGACAACTGTTACGACATTTTGTTGTTCTTCCCAGTTGCAAATGGACAACCGTCGACGATGACAAATCATTTTAGACTCTATTTTGAGGGCCTACCATTTTAATTATTTTATTTTTTAATCGTAATGCATAAATTATTTATAAAAATAAATAAATAAATAAGTTTATCTGATAATTATATTATATTTATTTTATAAAAAGTAAATAGTTTAATTTTTAAATAATATTTGTTACTTTTTGCACAAATAAATATTATGAACTAACATGATTATAATTATCGGATTTATCTAATTTTTAAAATTCAATTTGTCTATAATGAAATAGGTAAAAGTGAGAGAGAGAGAGAAAAAAAAAAAAAAACTTTTTTGACTTTGTTTAACTTATGCGTGGTGAAAAAAAATAAAAATAAAAAAAATTAAATTTCTTGTACAACAATTGTAACTAATTTTTAATTTCTTACCAAAAAAAAGAAAAATTAAATGTGTGAGTTATTTATAACTAAACTTTTAAATTTTTTATTATTTTTCTTACAAATTTTTCATCTTAATCAAATGCTTCCTAGAAAATATATTTTCCTTTTCATTTTTTTTCTTTTACTTCATTTTCTTTCAATTTATAATTTTTTTTTCTAATCAAATAAAGCCTTATAAATAATTTACACGTTGTGATTTAAAAAATAAATAATTTAAAATATTGAGATGAGACCTATGGTAGGCTTGCCAAACAGTACGACCTAGTTGTGGATTAGAGAGAATCTAGACTCGAATAAGAAAAGGGTTAAATTGTAAAGGGGAAAAATGAGTGTTTGATTGCAGTTTTTTGAAAATTGAGTTTTTCATTTTTTTTAGTGAATATTTTTAAAATTTTAAGCATTTTTTACTTTTTTAGATATACATTACTTAGATGTATATAAATATTAAAATATTTGTGAAAAAATATTTTAAAAAATTATTAAATACACAAAAATATGAAAAATGTATTGAATTTTCAATTTTTTTTTTTTTGTATTTTGTATTTTTGGTACTTAGTGAATTTTTTTTAAAAAAAAATTCACAAATATTATACTTTTTAAGTGTATTTATGTTAGGTGTGCCTAAAAATTAAAAAAATTCTTAAAATATTAAAAAAAATTCAGTGAAAATAAAAAAATACAAAAAATGAAAAATTAGAATTTTCTGAAAAGTAAATTCTAAAAACTGAAAACAAACAGAATGAATGTATTTCTCTCTTATCTTATTTAGATAGATTACATAAAATAAAAAAAAAAATTACTAATACATGTTTTTTTATTAATTTTTTTAAAATTAGAATTTTCTGAAAAGTGTATTATGAAAACTGAAAACAAACAGAATGAATGTATTTCTCTCTTATCTTATTTAGATAGATTACATAAAATAAAAAAAAAAATTACTAATACATGTTTTTTTATTAATTTTTTTAAAATTAGAATTTTCTGAAAAGTGTATTATTAATACCATGCATGTTTTTTTAATTTAATTTTTTATTTATTTTATTTATTTTTAAAAGATAGCATTTGGTAGAGTTTTCTAAATATGATTTAAGAATAAGAGTTGTATTTTGAGTTTGTGAGTTTTGGAATTATGATTTTAGTATGAAAAAGTGAATGCGGAATTAATTTTTGAAAACTGTAATCAAACATCACGTACAAATCAAGAGGTAGAATCATACATATTTCTAAAACTCTTCCAAACAAATTAGTTTCAGTTTATTTATTTAATTTCCTCTTATTTTCTTATCTTTAGTAATTCAAATAGGTTATTAGGATGAAAAGATATCAATTTTTTTTTTTTTCTTTTTCAAACATATGGTGAGATAGAGAAAGGTTCACTTCGAAGAGATTGACAACTATTAGGACATGTTTTTTGTTCTTTCAATTGAAAATGGAAATAGAGGTTGATAATCAAATCTAAATTTATTGTAAAAGATATTGAAAATAATTATTCTGTATTTCAAAAATATTATGAGATCTCCTAAAACCCTACTCCAACCAAGTTAGACCCATTTTTTGTTTTCTGGGCTGCTTTTGGGCTCCATTGTAAGGCACATAACTATTGATTTTTTTCGTGGCCCACATGCTATCAGCCCAAGTGTTGAGTCTACAGAATATTTTGAGGAATTGCATAATTGAATCCTTCTTTATAAAACCAAAACCCTTTTTTTTTTACTATATTTGACTAAATAAATAAAATTGACTACATCCAAGTAGGCCTGTCAACGGATCGGGTATAACCCGAATCCGATCCGAATCCGATCCGATTAATATCACGTATAATCGGATTTTCAATAATCGGATTCGGATTCGGATTCGGATTAATAGTTAATCGGATCGGATCGGATTTTGGCAGATCCGACCCGGATCCGACCCATTGACAGGCCTACATCCAAGTTGTCCAAGACAAGCATGAAAATGGTTTTTTAAAACCCAACGACATTCATAAAAAGTTAAAAGTCAGTTTTTAATCTATTTTGGGTTACATCACATCTCACATGAAACAGTGAAAAAAGTCAAAAAATTAACTTTTAACCATCTTTCTAAAACAACCATTAGGGGCACTTACCAGTAAGTTCTATATACAAGATTTAAAATCATCTACTTCCAAAACAAAACACTTGCAAGTTGCACCAATTAATCCTACATATTTTTAATTTTTTTTTTATAACTTTAAAAATGCTGCTATATTTTACCATCGTCGGACTTCTGTCAAACGGTCACCGAAGACTTGCCAGAATATTCAACATCACCGAAAAGTTGCCGGAAGTTTGTCGGAGTATCACCAGAATGTTCTAAACGTCACTAGAAGTCGTTGGAATGTCCAGAATGTTCATTGAATGTCAATAACATCATTGAAGATTCACTAGAATATCCAGAATATTGCTGGGGGGAAGAAAAAAAAAAGAAGAAAAAATAGAGAAATTATAGTGAAAAAACATAGCAAATTGTACTAAATATTGATAAACTGGAAGGGAAAAAAAAAACCATAACAACAACAAACAACAATGGGAAAAAAATATATATTATTTTTCAATTTTTGTAAGGTTTAAGTAAATAATCTCCAATATTGGTCAATCTGAAAAGTAAACTTTGAAACTGTAAAATGTTACAGTTTCAAAGTATGATTCTGTTAAACATTTATCCTTATTAATCAAACTGAAAAATATGTTGTGAAACTACAAAATTTTACAGTTCTAAAGAATGTTATGAAACTGTAAAATTTTACAGTTTTAAAACATGATTCATTTTAGTATCAAAAAAACTGAAACTGTAAAATTTTATAGTTTTTTCTGCTTGTAACTAAAATTTAAAAACAACTTATTCACAACTTGAAAATTTTCTCCATTAAAGTAAAAAAAAAATAGAAGTGTGTAACAGAGAAAAAGTAGAAAAATTGAGAAATCAAAGAAAAGAAACAAATATAGAGCGAATATTGTACTCTGACAACTATTTTTGGTTTAGATATAGTCAAATCTCATGTAAAATTACTTAGGTTTGATGTAGATCTGAGTAGATCTACATTAGATTTGAGTAGATCTTTGCTAGAAACTCGTTTCTTTCGCCGTCGGTGAGAGTGAAGTAAGAAGTCGATGGTCGGTGGTTGCCGGTAAATCCCAAGTAATGATGGTCGTCGGTCACCGGTGACTATATATTAAAAAAAGAAAGAGAAGAAGTAAGGTATGGTCGCCGATCACCAAAAGTCAGGAAGAGAAAGAAGTAGAGAAAAACGAACATAGAGAAGAATAAAGAAAAAAAATACGTAGTGGACTTTTGAGAGTATTCAAAAGATTGTGGAACTAAATAGACTTATCATCTTTTAAATAGGACTTCCAAGTAATTTGCCCATACAATAACATACTATCCCAAAATATTTTGGGTGCCTCTATTTATATACCACATTTTATCTCAAGGTAAACCACTACTCAAGGCACACCTTTAATAATTTGATAAATAAATGTTTTGCTCAATAAACACCACAATCTTCCATCTTTACCCTTGCTCACACACCCCACTCATAATCTACCCACAATCTTCCATCTTTATCCCTACTCACTCACACACCCTACTCACCCATGATCTTCCATCTCTCCCTCCATTCTCTGTTTAAACCGGTGAAGACCCATTGCTAAATACGCTTTTTGTCTCATGAAAGATGTCGTCGGTAGTGTTCAACACAGTTGGAAACAACTCTACATTGGAGATACAGAAGGTGAGTTCTCATTTGGCTTAGATTTTGGAGTTTTATGTACTTTTTCCCATTGCCATGAAATTTGTATTTGAATGATTCAGTTTCTGAACCGTTTGACACTGGAATTTCGAACCTCAAACATCTGTACGGTTGATTTCTGTCGAGCAACATGTGGTTCGACACTTGACTTTCGAACAATAGCAGTTTGTCCGGTTTATTATTGTCGAACATGTTTGACATCTTAGTGTCGAACCTGATATGTAATTCAGATCTAGAATGTCAAACACTAACAACATGTTTGATGTTGTACTGTCGAACAGTCTCTGTGTTTTTTTTTTTTTTTTTACCCTGCCTTATTGATTTCTTTGTTGTGAATAGTAACTAGAGGGCCAGACCAATTCCTCTGATGAAATGGAATATTGTGGGAACCAAATTAACTAATTGAATTTAGAAGAATACATTACATTAAAAAAAAAAAACATTTTAGTTCCTATAAATCATTTACTGAAAATCAACAGACTCTTGACTCAACAGTTCAGTTCCTATAAATCATTTAGCGATTTTGCCCAAACCAAATAACCCATTCATATTCATAAATTAAATTATATGAGAAAGAACCCATTTACTAAAATTTCTCTGTAAAAAATGTTGAGAGACTACAACTATTATGAAAATATTGCACACCTTTTATTTTATAAAATCTTAATATCAAGATCCTTAAACTAAAAATCTCTAATTTTTTTTTTCTTCTTGATTATTTATTTATTTATTTATTTATTTTGTTAAATTCACTTTTCTTGAACTTAAAGCAGAGTTCCAAAAAAGGGTTAGTAGAGCTGCAAGTTTTTAACAGTTGAACTACTTTCACATTTGCAGGTAAGTTTGAATGTTCAAATCCTCATTCATTAAAGTTGAATTGGTCCCATTGAGCATTAGAACTCATCTTATGCGATGGTAACAATTTACTACAACAGAGCTGAGGATCTTCTACTCCTCTCATTATCTTCTCTGCAAAAGATCACTTATAGACTACAGGTCAAATACATTACCACATTCTCTCCAATTAATTGTTTTCTTTCTAGATCTACCATTACAAACCATAAAATTAATTTAAAGCTCCAAAATTATATAAAATAGAAAAAAAAATGAATTACCAAAAAAATATCACCCACCCTTCTCAAATCACAAAAACTAGTCTTGTATATAATGTTATTTGTAAATTTACTGACTGATTAATTTCAGTTTTGAGATGAATTAAAAATTGAATCAGTTTTTGTGGTTTTAAAATTTTAGAAACCAAACTAAATTAAACCAAGTGAGAACTAGGAAATTTGTCAAGTAGAGCTTCTTTTCTTTTCTTTGAGAAGCAGGACTCAAAAGAACAATGAACTCTTGAAGCTAAACCCTCTTGAACTTTATTTTCCTACTATCAATGTTGTGCCCTTATGTCAACTGTTTTAGGAATATTTTCACAACGCAATTCACATTTTTTTAAAAGACTAAAAAGTTTGTTGTGTTTTACAATTTGAAAATTTGTTTTTACACAAAAGTAAAAATGATGGATTATTTCGAACTTAAAGAAACAAGAATTTGAATGATTGTGAGTATTTTAACATAAATTATTTGTGTTGCTTCTATTAACTTTATTGTTTTCTGTTTCATTTTTAAAAATAGATGACCCTTCGCGTATTCCACCCACTGCCTCAGAGAGACGACGTCGTGCATTAACAAATCCTGCTCGTGGCCGAGGTCGGCGTCATGGTAGAGGTCGGGGTGATGATATTATGTTGGAGGAAGCACCTCAAATCTTGGAAGAGGATGTGATTAATAATGGTTCTGGGGATGATGATGATGATGATGATGATGATGATCAGGCTGAGGAGGTACTCACTGGTCCGTTTCCTGGGGGGCCATCAGATTCATCAGGATTGAAGAGCTTCAAGGCACATATTGCAACAACTATATGGGAGCAAAAGGTAGTATATATATTTTTTCCATGTTTCATTCATTTAATTATTTATTAAACCAAATTATTTATGTAAATTATTGCTTACCTTGCAGGAGAGGAATCCCTTAAGGTGTTATAATCATGCGTCCAAGATTCTTGAGCAGTGGTGGTGGTCAAGAACCGACAATAGAAGGTTTAGAGACATTGTGCAGCAGTCAGGCCTATCTTCTTTGGTCCATTGCATATATCATTTTGTGAGTAGGATTGTCATATTTGCATTTGTTGAGCGATGGCAACCAGAGACAAATACTTTCCATTTGACAGTTGGTGAGATGACAATGACATTGGATGATGTGGGTACCATCTTGGGGATCCATATCACAGGTAGATTAGTTAGTGCTATAATTTTGACAGATCAACAGGCACATACACTTGTGGTTGTTGCCTTGGGAGTTGATGATGCTGAAGCAACTGAGGAGCTATCATCTGCTAGGGGACAATTAGTGAAGCTAGAGTGGTTACGGAGCAAATTCAGTGGTTGTAAAGATTCAGACACCGAGGAATTCATAGCCTGTGCCGCTAGAGCATATTTGTTATTTTTATTAGGATGTACACTGTTCAGCGACAAGAGTGAGACGAGAGTTCCTGTTGTGTACTTGCAGTTGTTGATGGATTTGACTGATATTCATACATACGCTTGGGGTGCAGTTGCATTGGCATATTTATACCGACAGTTGGAATTTGCCACGAGATCAGCTGTTCGACAGATGGCTGGTTACATGATATTGTTGGAGGCATGGATTTATGAGCATTTCCGACCTTTTAAACCTCACCAAAACATGGAATGTACTGTATAATTGCCTCACATGCATTGATGGACTCCTCGTCGGGAAGCTGGTTCAACAGTATCACACTTACAGGCATTACAAGAGGAGCTTGACAGATTGGCATTTGATGAGGTATACCAATTAATATTAGTTCAATTAAGTGTTCTCATTACATGTCACTCATTAAGATTTCATTTGTGTTTCTCTCGTAGGTTACTTGGGATCCATATCGTGATTACCGTCAACATCACTTATGTCATGAGATCACATTCTATACTGGTTGTTTGAAGTGTTTAGATGTAGTTGAACCCTATCATCTTGAAAGGGTTCTTAGACAGTTTGGTAGGGTTCAGACCATCCCATCCGTGCCACTCGACCCTGTTTGTGCTGTTAAAGGTGTCATAGTAGGCCGATATAGGGTGATGTATCAGTATCTTGATTAGAAATGAGAGAGTTAGGATAATCATGTTTTATCTGCTCGGAGGAGGAGTACTCTAGTTAGACGTCCAGTTGATTGTGTTAATGGTTACATGTAGTGGTATACAAGTATCATACACTTATATATCTAGCACCCCACACATCGATCTGGTTTTAACCCACATGCACATGATAGTCGATCTGATATGCAGGATGCTGAGGTATGACAATATTGCGCACACAATGTTTAAATCTTTTTTGAAGACGTTTAGCTAATTACAATTGTATTTGTTCTTAATGCAGTGTATTGATCACGCACTACGGATTGTGCATCCTATCATCGAGGCGGGCCATGATGCTAGTGTTCATGAGCCAGATAGGCTATATGAGGCCATTGAGAGGATGACACGTGTTCTTCAGGGTCAACAAATAGATGAGGCTAGACCTAGTTCTATTCTATTTAGAACATACAATCATAGGAGACAAGTAGATGATAGGTAGTTAGTTTTGCGGTAATCTTGTTTTGTTATTTTGTGATGGAAGAGAAGTACTCTTTTGATGTTTTTGTTGTTTTGTAATGAATAAGAATTACTCTACCAATATTTTGTAATGAATAACTATTCATGGTTTGTATTTTTGGTAATGAATATGAAGTATTATGCTAATGCGTTTGACACACCACAATGAGCAAGTAGTACCATGTGCATTAAATTAATTCAAAGCTTAATCCAACTCAACTATTTAAATGCTAATCTATAAAAAAATATATCGGTAACTATTTGAATTGCATTACTACAACTCAACTCACATACATCATTACTTATCAAGGTTAATACAATCAAATGTCTCTCTAGTAGCTACCCTTGAATGAACAACTTCTTTAAAATGCTCAATTCGGAAACTATATGCAGTATCCTATCCAGCTGCACAAGAATGATGAAACTTGCACTAGTTGGTAGCTATCAGTAGAACTGGATAACTCGGTAACATGAACACCTACATTGACAAAGCTTTACGTATGAGAGTGATGCAGTACAAAATGATAAATGTATTACACAAATCATAATGCTATATCTGGACAAAATGATTCCCATTAACAAACCCAATAGCAATCTTACGCTCGTTGAACTTGTGATATTGGCACTGATCGTAAGGGGAGGAATGTAAGGCATTGTTGTGCAGATAAGTGGTACAATACCACATTCTAACAAGATGCAATAAAATGACCCATGTCAGGTATAGTCATCCAACGGTGATACCCTGGATTGGGCTCAAAGTATGATAGAATATGGGTCAGCTCTTCAATCTTGTCATGTGAACCATATAGATGAGTGTAATGGTCTATGTATGTGTGCAATTCTTGTAGGAGATCACACCTAACTTGACCCTATTTAGCCTCTGTAAGCCCCATTAAGCCAAAAATGGCCCTAAAACCACAATTGGCATTGGTATCTATATCCTTGATAAGACGTATGTACGGCTTCAATCCAACTGGGAGGGCATCAACATATGAATAAGTCATAGTTGTACGAGTTCGATATACCTATTCAACAGGGAAGGCATCAACACATGAACAACAAAACACGTAATTTATCATCAACAAAAATGTAAGTAAAAAATGATTACATGTACCTTCTCTTTGGCGGGCCATTTTTTATGTACTTTGACAGAATCCTGTGTGGGGATCTAGGTGCGCATAGGTGAGTGGCTATCATGTCCAGACTGAACCAACTCAAATGCACAAAGTTCTCGATGCGTAGATATATCTATCTTCTTATGTCCCTTACCTCGAGGGTTAGGCTTCACATCCGGCTCGATGAGAAAAGTACTTTGCGGATTTGCAATCTCTTCTAACTTATGCAGAATTTCCAACTTCATAGTATAATCAGGTGCATTGAATTGCTTAAGTATGAAATCAAACTTTGGTTCACAACTCAATTCTACTTTATCATTCTTCAACTTTTGCACTATCTCAAGAGTCCTCCAGTGTGTGTTAATGCTATCAAGTGGTATTGGACGACCCTGTTGGATGTAATTCGTAATCTCATAGGCACAAGGTAACCTCGTGTGCTCGTTGAACAACACATCCACATACTGAAGCATCATTGCCAACATCATTTGCTCGTTTACTCTTCACTAAGACATGATCTAATACAGTAATAGAGATATTTTCTCGGAGCTCTAAAAAATGAGATGGTTTGAGGGGTGAGCAGCGGATATACTGATCCGCCAAAACTGACCGAACTGAATTGAACCAATCCGCTGCATTTTGGACGGATGTGTGATGACGAGTGGATGGTTGTGGATTGATTTTCTTCAATCCGCCAATCTGGTGGACGGATGGCGGATTTGAGATTCATTTGGCCACAACCAAACCGCCAAACCGCGAGCATCCCTAGTAATTTATAAGACTTTGTGTTTTCAGTTTGTTTAAATATTTTGTTTGTGTTTTCAATTAAAAAAGAGTTTATATATTTTGTTGAAAAAAAATTTTCAACTTGAATATCTTTTTTGAATTGAAAAAAATAAACGTATTAGTTATCTATATTTTTTGGTTTTTAAATCTATCTCTAAAAATAATTAATAGAAAATATGATATATGCTGGTTGGTTTTTGTTTTCAAAAACAGATATAGATGTAATACTACAGAGACATACAATCTCTACTACTGCCTTGTTCATGGTTTTGGTGGTTTGATTTGTTTTTATATTTTAAGAATCACAGATTGTAATACTTTATATGGATGAGGCATGCTGTGATTATAGTATGTAGATGAGACATATAGTGATTGTGATATTATAAAGTTTCAAACTTTCTTACTTTGGATGAGGCATACAGTGATTGTAATATTTTTTTAAGTCATTGACTGTAATACTTTCTTCTTTTTTTTTTTGAGGAAGTGCACAAGTTGAATTATGTTGAAAATTTATAAAATTTTAAACCGCCAAACCGATTTGCATCCATCCGCCAAACCGCCAATCCACTTAATCCACATCCGCCGGATTGGCGGACGGATGCGGATTGATTTTCTTTGATCCACCAATCTGGCGGACGGATGGCGGATTGGAGGTTCCGTGGCCGCAATCGACCTGTGCCCACCCCTAGTTTGAACTGGTGTTGTACAACGGTTAAACTCTTTTCAAACAATGCCTTAATATCAACATGCTGTAACTCAAGCAAACTATGGGTCTTGGTCCACGAACACTCAAAATTGACTTGGTTAGAATCAAGTTGCCGTTTAAGTTTTGCATGTGCACTTTCAGCCCTTTGTACTTTTAACCCTGTGCACAATGGAAACAATTAACATAATTAAATTTAAATAATCAAAATCATAATGCCTAATAGTGTAAGGTAGACAAATATATATTACTTGTTGGTTGTAACATTCCCGAAGTGAGTACAACTATTTGTTCATACAAGAACAAACTTATCCTTATATGGAACTAACCAACTTTGTGACACGTATTGCACTTCCTCAGGATATGTATCAAAATCCGCAAGTAACGTAGCAAGGTGTTCATTGTATTCAAGCTCAATTCAGGAGAGTACTAAGAAATTCCACAAAGAGATAAACTTGTCTCATTTCTCTTTACTCCCAAACATTTTCTTGCATTTCGCCAGTACATTTATACTAATATACCATCGACATAATAAATGTCGAGATATAGAAAATACCCTGTCAATAGCATTCATCAAAGCAAGCTCCCTGTTCGTGATAATCACCTTAAGAATAGCAATGTCATCCAAGAGACTATGCAATGTAGTTAGCACCCAAACGTAGTTATCAAACCGCTCAAATTAGAGATATGCAAAGGCTACGGAGAATGACATATCAGTGGATATCACACCAACTATCTCAAGAAGAGAAAAACGATATCGATTTGTCTTATATGTGCAGTCCATGATCAACACCTTTGGAAATGAACGGAGCAAATCTAAATGGACAGGATGTGCCCAAAACAAGTCTGTGATAGTCATCGTGTTGTTGTCACACTTATGCCGCTCAATGTAATTATGCTTTTCTAATTCACCCAACAACTGTTGCATCTATGATCTCTCAACTTTCTCAATGACATTATTCCTATGACGTACATTGTAAATGGTTTTCATAGTGGTTACATTCAAAGTATCCTTTTGTTTCAAGGTAACCAAAATCTCTTTTAGTCTGACCATGCTTTTGGACATATCCACTAATAATGATGTTTCCTCCTCAGATGATCTCCCTGCAAATGAACGTCCTTCAAAATGTTTAGCAGGAGCATGGTTATGCATTCCATATGCTACATCTACCATCCAATCGTCACCAGCCATCAACTTACGAGCCCTCAATTCAAAGGGACACTCGCATTTCTTTGTACATGTTATCTTCACAATTTTTTTGTTTGAATCATCTCCTTTTAATTTCTTATGAGCTTTGTATTGATCATTTCTCTCAAAGGCAAGATATATCATTGGTGTCCTATGACCACCACCATAGTTCGATATCTTGATGACAATCATAAAACCATTTTTCCTTCCAACATCTCGTGTACCCAACTGAGCAATTCGTCTTTGCTCTTGAAAACCTACATGTCAAATTAAAGTCATTAAACATGTGGAAAAAAGAAAACTAATATTTGACATGAGAGTACCTCATTAGCAATAAATTGACTTGTGTAGTCAACAAAACACTCGAATCCAACATTACTGCATTCCCTGGATGCGCAGTTCTGGAAAAAGCAAAAAAAGAAAAAAGAAAAAAGGAAGTTATACGTGTTCGGCAGTATAGAGTCGAACAAAGCAGATATGTTCGACTATTGATAGCCGAATAGATATTTTGTTTTCGACACTTAGAAACCGAAACATTGGAGCCTGTTCGACACTAGTAGATCGAACAAAAACAATTTGTATAGTTGTGGATAGTTGAACATGAAAATACCATTCGACTTTGGATAATCGAACTAATACAAACGGTTTACCCTTCAGCAAGTACATGAAAACGAAAAAATAAGAATGAAAACTAGTATTTCCAGATGCATCTATCATTCAATCCAATCAAAATATCCAATAATATGTATATTTTTGGTTGTTTCTTTTAAGGGTTTTGGGTTTTTGGATTCTTGACAGACAAGATACGTACGTAACGTTTGAGATTCTTGATGTGTATTATATTCATTATCGTCCTTTATGGTAATTATACAAATGGAGTGTGTTATAACCCTTTGTCCTTTGTGGTCATTTTATCTAAGGTTAAAATTGTAACCAAAAAAAAAAAAAAAAACTAATTAATGGTGTGCTTTGAGATGAAAGATGGTGTGTAAATAGAGGCATCCAAATATTTTCCATATATTTTGGTTTTGTAAAACCAATTGACTTTTAAATTTGTGCATGAATACAATAACATACTATCCCAAAATATTTTCCATATATTTTATTATACACATTGTATATCATAAGTAATTGTTATTTTCATTCATCTACATTTAAGTTTTCAAGGTCTCACCATACTACCATTTAAAAAA